CTTCATGAAAATTTTATCGATTTTTCATCTTGTCAATCAAGTGAAATGTTTTTCGAATTATTCAAATCGGACGCTCCGTTCTCTCAAAAACTGAGTTACCGTTTTCGGCACTTTTTGCCCCGTATCTTCGGAACGGCTAGACCTGCCTTCGCCAAAAACTAATCAGCACGTCTCCTTATCAATACGAATCGAATGTTTTTTGAATTATTCAAATCGGTTGACCCGTGTTCCCAAAATCGTCGACGAAAATTTGTATCCGCACATACATACACACACATACATACATACACACACACACACATACACACACACACACACACACATACATCCATTTTTTCTAAGGTATGCCAAAATGTTCAGAAACCTCTGAAACGTAAAGATATATAAAAATTTTCATTTTCGATTTTTTTGCGATTACTATAACTTACCCTACGGGAAGTTAAATATATTAGTAATAAATAAAATGTAAAATGGTTTAATAAATACGGCAAAACCCCGTTAGGACGATTGTGTTTTGTACAATTTATCGCTTAATACGCTACTATAAGCCAGTCTCTGCACTTTATGATATATTTTTCATATCTCTGAAAATACGCATATTTGGTACGATAATTAGAAATCGTTTTAACGGGGTTTTACTGTAACTAATCGTAAGCAATAATAAATAACTAGTGGTGTATGGCATCGTGCCTTAAGACAAATTGCCGGAACTCCGTACCAAAAACAAAATTTTTAAAAAATGCTCTAACTTTTTTTAAACTTTGAAATAATTTGATTATTGCAAAATTTTAAATCTTTGAAAAAATGACTTTTTTGAAAAAAAAATTTTTTTAATATCTTAAAATATTTAGAAAATTTTATTTTGATAATTTTTGGCCGCAAAACGATACTTTTTTTACTTTTTTCAATAGATCTCTGAAACCGCTGGACCTGCCTTCGCAAATTTAAACGGTGCTTCATTTTGCCGATACAAATAAAATGTTTTTGAATTATTCAAATCGGATGCTCCGTGATAAAGTTAACATAGAAAATAAAGTAACATTAATTTATACCGTGACACGTAGTTCGTGCAGCCCTGCTCTCGGTTCCCATATCTAAATAAATATAAATAAAAAATATGTTTGGAGAAAAAAAATTAATGGATCCGGAGACATGTCTCCTGTTATTTAAACAGAAGGTAGATAATAATTAAACAGAAATGAGGAGAAAAAAAACACTTCAGATACACTTCAGATATATATATATATATATATATATATATATATATATATTTAATGGACACAGGTGGCTCAGCAGATGCTGGGACTTATTTTATCTCTTTGTGCTCCGCAATTAAAAAAATCTAAAAACCATTTATGAACTAGGCGTAAGTGGCATGTTGCCTTAAGGCAAGTTTCGTAAACTTCCAGATACGTGTAAATAACCGAAAACGTAAACAAAAATTAGATTTAGTTATTTAAATAAAATGTTCAACTGTTTATTTTGAATATATATCGCTTTCATAATTGATATTTTTGAAACATACTTATAATATCTGTAATTGTATGTAATAAATCAATTTATTTAACACATTTTATTTCATACCTTTTATGTTTATTTAAGTGTAGACGTCAACTGTAATCAGTAGCTACCAACGAAACGCCATATAACGTACGTATGCCTTAGCATAGATTCTGATTCGATTCACCTAAGCGCATGGCTAAATTCTAAACTTTGATGATTTTTTATAATTCAGCCACTTATCGTATGCCTATAATATTTTAATATGTTATTTTAGACCATAAAATCTATCGTTGTACGAAGCTTCATCAAAATCGTCAAAAAAAATTCCAACATTTAGTTACAAAGATAAAAACTTGGTTGATCTTTATCAAAAACTAATCAGCACTATTCTCAACTGATAATGATGATAATAAATAATAAATGATAGTCTGTCCGAAGGCAGGTCCATGGCTTGAGAGCCACGACAAATAAATGATTCCTTTGTCCTTCCTCGTCTATCATTCCCATTACCATGGTGTGCACTATTCCCTCCCCCTTCTTTACATACTTTGTTTTTATGTATTTTCCTTTCCGAACTACTGCTTCCATGCTTCCTGATCCTGCGCTTCGGCATTCAGTTCCCTGTATTTTCGCGTAAGTCGTCAATCGTCTCAACTGATATGATCCAAAAATTTCAAAATCGGTCCAGGATGTTTGGCTAAAACAAGTACTATAAATTTTGCATTTTCTGCTGTTTATGAAAAAACGACTTGGCCGATCGTCGTGCAAAACAAATCAACGCTGGCCTTTATCGAGTTACATCGAATGGTTTTTAAATTTTTCAAATCGGTTCAGGCATTTTTTTATTTCATTTCGATTCGAGAAAAGGTCAAACGTCGGTTCCCATACTTTTCATTCATTTTCCAAATCTGGTCTCAATCGATTCAGAATAACTATAACGTTGAGACAACCTAAAATTAGCAAATTAGATTTTCTGACAAAACTAGTGGTGCATGGCATCGTGCCTTTAGGCAAATTGCTGGAACTTCCCGTACTGAAAACTAAATAAAATAAAAAACTTTAAAATTCCTTTAAAACTTTGAAAAATTCGATTTATGAAAAAAATTGACTTCTGAAAAAAAATTTGTTTGTATTTTGAATATTTTAAAAATGTTGATCATTTTTTAAAGCAATCACGCTGCATAGCTGATTTAAAGTCAAAAAATCGAAGCGCGTAAGCGCCGCGTGGTAGGTTGACGTGTAAACATTGGTACGGAACCCATATAAATGTACACAAAATTTATACCTATTATTATAATCTTTATAAAATATCTGACAATATGATGTGCATAAATGCACAATGAACATATATGTCTAACGATCATTTTTGAACCCCAAATGGCATAATTTTTTACTTTTTTTGATTGGATCCACAAAAATTTCACCAGCTGTTCATTTCGTAAATACAAGTAAAATGTCTTTTGAATTATTTAAATCGCAAGTTCCGTTATCTCAAAAACTGACATACCATTTTTGATACTTTTTGCCCGTATCTCCGAACGCCTAGACCTACCTGTGCAAAAAACTAATCAGCACATCTCCTTATCATTACAAACCTAATATTTTTTTTAATTATTCAAATCGGTTGATCCGTGTTCGCAAAACTCGTCGACGAAAAATTGTATCCGCACACACACATACACACACACAAATACATCCATTTTTTCTAATGTATTCCAAAATGTTCAGAAACCTCTGAAACGTAAAGATATATAAAAATTTTCATTTTCGATTTTTGAACAATTACTATAACTTAACTTACTATAGCCAAAAAATAGTCACATTTTTACCAAAGCTCTAGTTTGCACTTTCAAGTTCAATTTTCAAACAACACAAGTTAATTTTGTTCTCATTATTTTTTTTATGACAATTCTGATAAATAATATTACCTCATTTCGGCTTGACGTTAAGTGCTGGGACACCTTGATTTATAATTATATAAATCTAGTCACATTTTTTACCAAAGCTCTAGATAAAACTCGTAATTTTAAAACTACGAGTTAATTAACTTAACGAAGAAGAAGTTTATATTTTCATAAAAAAATCCGATTTGCTATTTTATGTTTTCTCGACGTTTCAAGCCATTCTGAATCGAATGAGGCTAAATTTGGAAAAAGTATGTGCGTGTGTGTGTGAACAGATTTTTTGCCATAAATCGACGTTTTCTCAAAAACGGCTTTTTTAAAAAATTTAAAAGCCATTCGATGTATCTCGATGAGGATTATTGTTTGTCAGTTTCGTGCGACGATCGGCCAAACCGTTTCTTTATAAATAGCAGAAAAGTGAAAAATTTTTCGTTCATGTTTTAGCCCGCAATTCTGAATCGATTCTGAAAATTCGAAAGATATTGGTTGGGACCGTTTTCTTGTAATAAAGTGTTGAAAATTTTTTTTTCGACGATATTGTTATTTTTTGACGGTAGATACCATAGTCTTTATAGATCATATTAAAATAATACGGTCCAGGGTCCAACGACAAGTCAAAGTTTGAAAAAATTGGTATAGTTTTTTGGCATTTGTCAAAATTAGATCTCTCATCGGCGTTTGCTCAAAAACGCCTGAACCGATTTCAGAATTTTATAAGCCATTCGATGTATCTCGATGAGGATTAGTGTTTGTCAGTTTTGAGCGACGATCGGCCGAGCCGTTTCTTTGTCATTTGAAAAAAAAACTGTTAAACTTTTCGTCTGATACTGATTAATTTTAGGTGAAAATCTACCGAGCCGTTTTCTTGTACTTAACTGTTAAAAAAGAATTCCAAGTCAATTTTTATGGAACTTTTTTTGGCGATATATATCATAGTCTTATAGAACTTACTGAAATATTAGGCCCTTATGACAAGTAATTTAATTTTGAAAATTTATTAAAGTTTGAGAAAATGAGTAGTTTTTTTGAAAAAGTTAAAATTAAAATTAGACGATTTACTTGGTATAATGATAGAGTACTTGGTCTTGGTGAACCTACTAAACCATTAAAGGCCTATGGAAACTGGTTCAATTATAAAAATTATTCATTTGCAAATACTTGCTTTTAGAAAATACTCCGAGTTAACGTGTTCATTCATTTTCTCTTATGTGTAATAAATCCACTCGAAATACTTTTAATCCTTCATAAATTAATTTATTTTTTAATGATTAAGTGGATTATTTACACATTTCGGGAAGTTCATGTAACTTGCCTCAAGGCTAAATACCAATACTAACTAGTTTTTATAATTCTTTTCAATACAATTCTGAAAAATAATATTACCCTATTTCGGCTTGAGACTGAGTTCTAGAGAACCCTGTAAAATCATAGAAATGTAGTTTACACAAACAATTATATTAATATATCATAAATGAACAAAAACTAGTTAGAAAGAAGGAAAAGTTTATTTTCCCATAAGTTTTGTATTATAATTTTATGTCATAATTACTATACAAGTTATAAATAACTGAGTAATTATTTACTTTCTCTGATATGAATCATTTCATGACGTTTTAATGTATATTTTACCGAGAATGTTTTATCACATAAATTACATTTATAAGGACATTCTTCAGTGTGTGTCATTTTATGCACCCTTAAAGAATCCTGTCTATTAAATACTTTACCGCATATCTCACATTCATGAGATTGTTCACCGTGGATCATTTCATGTTGGTTTAAAGTCCATTTCGTTGTAAAAGTTTTGTTGCAGGTTTCACATTTATAAGGCTTTTCTCCAGAATGGATGGCTTCATGCTGGTTTAATGTCCATTTCGCTGTGAATGCTTTATTGCATATTTTGCATTTATAAGGATATTCTCCGGTGTGGGTCATTTCATGTTGGCTTAAGGTATGTTTTCTGGTAAATGTTTTGTTGCATGTTTCACATTTATAAGAGAGTTGTCCGGTGTGAACATTTTCATGTAGGCTGAGTTTGTATTTGGTTCTGAATGTTTTATTGCATATTGCACATTCATGGGGTCTCTCATCAGTATGGATCATTTCGTGTTGTTTTAATAAAACTGATGTCCTGAATGTTTTATTGCATAATGCGCATTCGTAGGGCCTTTCTTCGGTGTGAACAATTACATGTCGCTTTAGGTATCCTTTAGATTTAAATGCTTTATTGCATATTTCACATTTATATGGACTTTCTTCACTATGGACGACACTATGCCGTTTAAAGATTAGTTTTGATTTAAATGTTTTGTTACATATATCACATTTAAAACTTTCATCTAAATTTGTTAAAACAGTACCTGCATCTTCATCAATTGGTTCTTGTTTTATTTGTTCCTCGATTGTTACCTCAGACTCTAGAAATTGGCATGGAGATGTTTCTTGGTTTTCCGGACATATTTCTGATATAACATAATCATCTAATTCTTGTTTAATTTGAGGATATTCAATAGGTTCAGTTTTAATTGTTATGCTTGAGTTTGTTTCTTCAGACATTTTTAGTTGTAAACAAACTAACAATAGTTTCTAAAAATGCTTTAAAATCTATATTATAAGTATTTAGTTATTATATATATTTATTAGCAAGTTTTAAATGTATTATTAATATGTTTTAATTTATATTTATAATAGTTTTGTTTAAATACAATATAATTTTATTTACCACTTTGACATTTCTAATTCATTTTCTTGACAACATTGAAACATTGCAAAGTTCATGGCAGTTGGCAGTGATCTAGGCATGGACTATGTAGTTTACCTGGATACATACTGTTTTAAGCATAGATAAATAAACATAAATGGATACTGTTTTAAATGCATTTTCAATAAAAAAAGCTTCAAAAAAGATACTAATAAATTTAAAACTAGCGGTGTATGGCATCGTGCCTTAAGACAAACTTCCCGTAATAAAAACTAAAATAATAAAAAAACTTTGCAAAACTTCGAAAAAATTTGATTTTTGAAGAATTTTAATATGTTTGAAAAAAATTGACTTTTTTGTAAAAAATGTAATTTTTTAAAACTAATCGCAAAAAAATCGAACATGGAAATTTTGATATTCAAAAGTTTTTGTTTCAAAAGTTTTAAAACATTTTGGCATACCTTAGAAAAAAATGATGTATGTGTGTGTACGTGTGTGTGTGCGGATACAAATTTTCGTCGACGATTACGGGAACACGGGATTACGGGATTTAAATAATTCAAAAAACGTTCGATTCGTATTGATAAGGAGACGTGCTGATTAGCTTTTGGCAAAGGCAGGTCAAAACGGGACAAAAAGTGCCAAAAACGGTGATTCAGTTTTTAAGAGAACGGAGCGTCCGATTTTGATAATTCATAAAACATTTTACTTGTATTGACAAGATGAACAACTAAATAAATGTCTGGGAAGGCAGGTCCAACGGTTATGGACTCTCAATAAAAATAAGTTACAAAAATGTCAATTGGCGGTCCAAAATGTTTATTGGACATATGTGCATCAAATTATTAGAGATTTTAATAATGTATACACATTTTGTGTAAATTTGTTTGAGTTCCGTGCCAAAATTTTTAATTTCTTGGGAAGTTTCAGCAATTTGCCTTAAGGCACGATGCCGTGCATCCCACTATTCATTTTTTAAATCTTGAAATTTTTTTTAAGCAATCGCGCTGCATAGCTGGTTTGGAGCCAAAGCGCGTAAGCGCCGCGAAGTCGTCTAACGTGCAAACATTTGTACGGAACCCATATAAATGTACTCAAAATTTGTACTTATCATTATAATCTTTATAAAATTATTTTTCACTTTTTTCATTAGATCTCCGGAGCAAACGCTGGACCTGCCTTTACAAAAATTTTGCCAGTTGTTCATTTCGTCAATATAAGTACAATGTTTTTTGAATTATTTAAATCAGACGCTCCGTTATCTCAAAAACTAAAATACTATTTTCGGCACTTTTTGCCCCGTATCTCCGAAACGACTAAACCTGCCTTTGCCAAAACTAATCAGCGCGTCTCCTTATCAGCAGGATTCGATTGCTTTTTAAATAATTTAAATCGGTTGATCCGTGTTTGCAAAATCGTCGACGAAAATTTGTATCCGCACATACACACGCACACACACATCCATTTAAAAAAAAGTATGCCAAAATGCTCAGAAACCTCTGAAACGTAAAAAAATATAAACATTTTCAATTTCTATTTTTTGCGAATACTACGGAAAGTTAAACAAGTCGTGCATGGCTTTGTGCCTTAAGGCAATTTGCAGGAGCTTTTCATACCCTAATTTTGAATTCTTAAAAGGATTAATTTTTTTTTAAGATTTACAAAAATAGGTTTGCATGAGAATTTTAAAATTTCTGTAACATTTTAAAATATTTCTAACATTTTTGATTAGTAAACATTAAAAAAGATTTTTTTTTGAAAACTAATCAGCACGATTCTCAAATGATACCGTTCGAAAGTTTTTAAATTTTCAAAATCAGTTGAGGATTATTTGAAATATTGACGAAAGATTTCGCAATTTTTCAAAATTCTAAAGAACGGGTTTAGACAATCGTCTTGCTAAACAAATAAACGCTAGCTAATGGTTTTCGAAATTCGTTCAACAGTTTTGGAGAAAAATGTCGACGAAAGGTCAAAAATTGACATATACATGCACATCCATACATTTTTCAAATTTCAGGTCAAATGATTCAGAATCACTTGAAACATCGAGAAAACATACAATTAGAAAATCGGATCTTCAAAACACAAAATTAGAAAATTGGCAAAATCATAAACTTAGGGGTCAAATATCAAAACTGAAATAAACCCTAATAATTATTAAAACACATATTCATATAATCTCTTGATTATTTATTTCAAAATAAATTATTGCTTGTGGGTCGATCTAGTGATATCAACATGAAAAAGTTAAACCTCACATATGATTACCAACGTCAGAAAAAGAAAGAAAAAAAAATTTAGGTTAGTCACAAAATGAGGACAAGAGTTTATTATAGGCGACAATTATTATAGACGTAGGTTTATTAAAATTTATTACCTAAATATCCAAATCAGAACGTGATATTGAGCCCAAGGATGAGAAAACTAGTACAAAATAAAACAAATTTGCTAAATTAAATAACCAATTGTGCACTGTGATGCAAGACGGCAATAAAAAATACGTCAATGCAATGACATAAATTTTAATAGTTGAGAAATTTGTTCACGAATGAAAAATGTGTTGTCAATTAAAATTATACCATTATCCACTGCGATGTGATATGGCAATGAACAATCTACCTCTGAAATTGAAATTAATTAAGGTTATGTAAATAATCTGTGAAGTTTAACTTTCATGTGCAACCTATGAAACGACCCCGATATGCACGAAATGAATACACGCTTAAATTTAACTTAATCTTATGTTAAGAGTAATCTTAAGAAGCTAAATTTTAACTTAAGTTAAGCTTAATACTGTCTTAGGTACTTTGTAGATATGGAGAAAAGGATGCTGGGGTGGATTTAAATTACTTGGACTTTAATAATAGTCATGAACTGATAACATATGATTGGTTGTGATGTTACACTTCAAAATCTGATAGAAGAATATACGGGGAAGAAATATTTTTAAGGTTGGCAGATGTTAAAAGCAAAGTTCACAGCATTGGCCAATACCAACGTCTATTAATCACGTGAGCCTTGGGATGGGGGGTTTGTCAAAAAATCACAAAATATCACTCAGGGAGCGGATTGTCTAGCAAGATCCCAGGTAAGGTATTTATTATTTACCTAAATGTTTAAAAAATTTAAATTTTTTTAAAAAATTCAAAAATTTTACGAGGGGAATGGTTAAAAACCTTTAGTAACTACTCACTTGATTACTGAAATAAACAGTATTTTGTTTGTCAAACAGATATCTCTGACAACAGATCAAAATCGTCAATAGATTTATATTTCTATTCGTCGAGTTTGAAATTAAGTTTGTTCGTCAGTAGAGTTCTGTTTTATTTTTCTAGATTGAGTCTGTTCGTCCGTGGACAAGCCCTTAAACTCCTTCGCACGTTAGTACAGTTACACGCGTCTCGGGTCCAGATCTCTTGATCCCTACAGAGTTAAGCTTTAAAAGATTTTTACACAAGATGACAATCAGTTTGCTAGCCAGTAGAGTTCTGTTTTATATTTCTAGATGGAGTCTGTTCGTCCGTGGATAAGCTCCTAAACTCATTTGCACGTTAGTAGAGTTTCAGGCGTCTCTGGTCCAGATCTCTCGATCTGTACAGAGTTACGCTTTGAAAGATTCTTACACAAATTGATAATCAGTTGGTTCACAAGTAGAGTTTTATTTTATTTTTCTAGATTGAGTCTGCTCGTCCGTGGAGTTAACTCAATTTTTTTTATCATGTCGAGATTCAGGTAGTTTGTTAGTAAAGTTTTCTGTTTAGAGTCCATTTCTCCCAATCTTAGTAGAGTTATTGTTGGTCAGTACTAAACATTTGTTCTATTTTTGTCCTCTACTGAATATTTGTTCTGTTTTAAATATTTTTGTGTCCGTGACACATTTATGATCGTGACTTCCGAATTTCCAAGTACTTCAAATCCACATCGACATAAATAAATTTGAGGTTAGATTCTATTTTTGAGGTTAGATTCTTTAAATTAAAGATTGTCAGCAAAATTAATTAAATGCTAATAGGGAAGTGTGTTTACATAATTATATTAATTAATTGCACATTTAGAAAATCAATTGGAAAACTGGTTGTGATGTTTTTGGCACATAAAATGAACTTGCCACCTAAGTGTTGTAAGACTACACTTAATAGCTTTTTATTTACCTAATTGTGAGTGTGTGAAACGAGAACGATTAAATTTTGACTTAGGTTAATAATTTCTTGTAATTTGTTATCGTTGTTGGCAACACTATGTTAGTGGAACTTCGTATTTATAACTTTGTATTTATGATGCGATTTGAAGAGTATTATAAATAAAAAAGTTTTAAAATAAGTATTGTAAAATATTAGAGACCTATGAAATACAATAAATGGTAAAAAAAATCATTGGTTCATTTATAAATAATAAATTAAATTTAAAATAAAATAATAAATGAACAATTCAAATTTTCATAGGCCTATAAAAATCTTAAAAGCGCAAAATTAAATTATAAAAATGATGAAGCAAACAACAATTGTAGCTTATCATAAGCTTATGGAATAATCTGTTTTCAAATCCTATAAAATCTTATTAATTTTAATTAAATAAACTGCGGACAAAAATGTAATAATTTATAACTTGAGTCAAAATTACAACCAACCCGTTTTTCTTGGAATGCATTGATGTGTTGATTAGATACATATTTTTTACATTTATTACATTATCGACTGTACATGCAGCGCCTCTATCAGTAGTAAATAACAAACTTGTTGCTTATCACTTACTTATCATATTTTCAAACCATTTTTTTTTTCAAAAACATTCGCCCAATATGTATGCAATAAGTTGACTTAAATTTATTTTTAGTTCATATTTGTTAAAAACTATTTATTTCAAAAACATTCGACCGATATGTAATAAATATTAAATTGACTCAAATTTATTTTTTGTTCATATTTGCTAAAAAAGCAAGTAAAATAATTTAAATATTAAATAAAATGCTAATATTGAAGTACAATCATAGAAAGTACTAGTACTACTATAGTAGAGCAATGCTACTTTGATTATATTATTAAGCAAGGTCTTAAACCACTAGTATAACTATTAACCTAAGTTATAACCAGATAAACCGGGTAATGAGAGAATAAAAATTTAATTTAACAAATTATTTTTGAAGTAAATGAACTAATAAATGAATACAATATTGAATAAATAAATAATAATGCTATATTGAATAAAAAAAAATGTTTAAATCTCCGTCACATCTATTTGTTCCTCCCGCTCTTTGCCCAACAAGTTTACTAAACCAAACGCTAAAGGCGCTGCAATCGCTACAGTCTCGCAAAAAATTCTTTAATTAATCTAAGTTCTCACATTCTAGGACGAATTCATCTTAAATCTATTAATACTAACATTCTCTTAATATTATCTCTACAGATAACACGTAATGTTTGAAAAATTTCTGTCCAAAAATATTTCTTCAAACTCTGCTTATCTAGTAATTAATCTTTATAATTAATTTAAAATACATTTTAATTAGTCACAAACAGTAAAAAGGAAATAATAATAGTTATAGTAATAATAGCTATTAATTAATTAATTATAATTGTTTGGCTTATAAATGTAATCTTATTTATTTAAATTATATATTCGCAAAGTGAGTGTTTATCAAAAACATATTTCAAAACCGGTTCAACTATGATTCAGAAATAGTTTTAAATTCAGATAATATCTTAATAAGATAAGAAAGTAAGTTTATCTGAGAATATTACTAAAAATATTAAAAAATTGTTTTGGTATTACGTAACACTGTTTGCAACTAAAAGAAAAATTTAGGGCTATCCTCACATTTACAATTTACAAAAGAACACAATAACACATTAAATGACTGATTCTGCGGCATAACAGAAAAATGTTATGGCAAAGCCATGTTACGCTCCAACTTCCATACATAATGCTACTAAATCATACTGAAAACTGTCAAAATCGTTTATTGACATATGTGCGGTTTCTAGGCCAGGTTTTCTATCTGACAACCTGAAAAATACGCCTGACTGCACAGCAACCACATGTCTTTTTTCAATATTTCGAACAAATTAGTATGGAAGGCCCTTCATAACATAGCCTTGTCATAACATTGGTCTGTTATGTGGCGGAATCGGTCCATAAGTTTAAAAAATCAACACTAGTGGCTGTGGAATATTGTTTCAAATATATGCTCACGTGTTTGATACAATGGCTGAATAATTTTCACCCGTTGTTCATCATCAACCATGGTTTGAATGAACTAACGTGTTTAGTTTAGCTCAACACCGATGGTTCAAATCTTGGCTATCGTGTTATCATTTTAAATTGTTAATGTGATGCAGCCTAACGCTTTATTAATTAGAAAACAAAAGCACAAATCTTACATATGGACGACATCATTTTTTTTTTCAAGTTCTGGAAGTTGTGGAATCATCATTTATAGTCCAAAGGATTTTTTGCTACCATTGGAAGTACCTGAAGGAATGTATGTTATATTGAACATTAAACTAGATGTAAGTGGCATTTTACCCCAAAACAAGTTGCACTAACTTTTAACCCCGCCCCCGTATATTCACGTATATCAATTATCTCCTTCCATAGATGTAGCTAATTATTTACCTGATAATAGAAGTATACTTTTATCCGGGCCCTTCCTCAGGAGCGGATTCGGCCCTTTGGCATTCAATGTAGTCCCACTTTTCGTTTTATTCATCAAATTGGAAGCAATAGTACTCGTGCTGATTGACGTCTGGTTGACAGATTTGTTGACGGAATTCAACAGAACATTCTTGGTATTCTGATACGAAGACAGTAGAGCTTTGGAGGGCCCTTTGCACATTGCCGGATCCGGGCCGCACCAGGCCTGGTAATCGAGTCTGGAGGAAAAGGAAACTAGATGTAAGATGATGGATAAGAAAACTTGAAATTAGAAAGTCAGGTAGAAATCTGTGGGATAAACGTTGTAGTACTATTAATAAAACACTTGGTTAACTTACAATAATAGATCATTGTCCGGCCCCTTGCAGAGTGTCGAATCTGGTCCTTTAGCCTGTGTTCGTTGCTGCTGCTTTGATAGTTGACTGAAAATAAATAAAAACGTCTAGAATTCACAAACAAACTAGTTGTGTTCAGTAGCTGCTTTCATCTATCCAACACGTTTTACTCTGAATTCTGCAATAATAAATTTCTATTTACCTGGTATGATTTTTTAGGAGCATCCACCTGTCTTTCATATTAAGAGCTGCAGTGATCTTGTCCCAGGAGTTCTCTTTGGAAGATCCATCTTCAGGTGTGCTGGAAGAACCATCGTCCTGTTTTGGAGAAGAATTACCACTTTTGTTCGTTTTCCAATGCAATCTAAAAAATATTTATGAAAGAGAAATTTAGTAACTTGTCAATGGCAATATTCTAATTATATTATCTTACCCAGTAATAGAATCTCCACCATTGACATTGTTTTTATTCCTCTTGTCAGCACCACCAGCACCTCCACCACTACTTTTGCTACTTTTGCTCTTCACACTTTCCACCTTGTCGGTTTCATCTGTACAAACAACGTTTCTTTTTTCACCATCATCAGTCTTAATCTCTACTATATCCTCTTTGACTTCACTACTAGTAATTTCTTGGGCAGTACTTGATGTCAAGACAACCTGATCGGCAGAAACTTCTGGTTTAACGTCTCCAGGTGTTGGTTTCTTTTTGTCGACTACTACACTATCCAGAAACCTTTTGGCTTTTTGTTCACTGTAGTTGGCACTGTCTAAAGCTAAACGAACAAGTTCGTTGGACACTTGTGCATATTGGGTTTGCATCAACTGTTGCACTAAAAGAGAAAAAAAAAAGATTTAACTTATGGATACTTATTAATCAAATTTATCTACTCACTTCTGGTTTTCTCTTCCCTGCTCTTAGCAATCTTATCCAAGTCCTTCCCATCATCCTCACCAGCTCCAGACTTCTGGCTTTTTTGGTCGCCATCCGCATCCTGGTGTTTATTGGTGGATTTAGAAGTCAATTTTGATGCTTCTTTCTTCTTGGCGTCTTTGCTGTTGCACTTCTTTCTGTCTTCCACAGTGGTGAGGGGTGAAAAAGTGACTTGTTTTTCGTAACCAAGGCCTAGAAGTTTCAAGGAAGCCCCTTGAACATTGTTGTCCGATCCTGCTAGAATATCCAGGAGCAACGTCTCGTCTGCTTTCGGGAAAATTGATTTGAGATACCTAGGGAAAAATGATCGATATTGAAGGAAGTTACAAAATACGGTGGAGAGTTACTCCTGCGTCAACATACCTGAGTTTCATCTTTGGCGAAGAATGTGGCCTCGGAGAACTCCTGAAACCCAAAGGAGATCCATACAGAGTTGTGCTATTTCCTAGAACACAAGAAACATATTGACAATTTTGTATTTGATATCTAGCTAGAACCAAACTAGTTCTATGTACTTTAGGTCGTAAAAATAGATTTGTGATAAAAAAGAGGTCAATTAGCAATTGAGCATACTATGCACTGATCATTAACATAGAACTAGAACAAGAAAAAAGAAAAAAATGTTATTCTTGAGACAGAGTAATTTTATTTGATGATTACCTGAAGATGCCCTGGTTATGGGTGTACTAATCCTTCCGCTCATCATTGGGCTGCCAGATTTTGAAGAATTATCTCGCCCTGAAAAAGCAACAAAAATAGCTGTAAGTGGCATTTTTCGTTAAGCTTGAAAAGTAAAAGTTGACGATATGTGTAAATAGCAAGCTCAATTAGAATTAAGACTTAACTATTTACATCAAATTTAAACTATTTATTTCAAAAATAAATAGGGCAATTCTGCTGTAACAGAGCTCATGAAATAGCTTTCTTGGTAACGCTATCTTATGCTTGTTCTTGGTAGTGAAAATTAAGAAAATGTCTATCTATTTGCCGTGCGAGCAGGCGTATTTTACATATAAACAAAGCAAGGGAGAATGTTATGATAACTGCACCATCTAGAATTCTGTTATCATAACATTATTCCGTGCTTGTTTATATGTAAAACACGCCTGATTGCACGGCAAATAGATAAACATTTTCATAATTTTCACTACCAAGAACAAGCATAAGAAAGCGTTGCCATGTCAGCGCTATTTTAGGAGCTCTGTTACGGCAGAATTGCTCCAAAAGTTTTCTCTTTCACTAAAAACTAATCAATGAGATTTTTAATTGATATCTTTTAAACTTTGCCGTCTAAGAATGCATAATTCATATAGACGTTAACGGTAATCATCAGTACAAACCACGAGGCTCATCATTCCAATCAGGACCGGTTCTACCCTGAATGCAATGCATGCGAAAAATGCGGGCGCAACTTCGAGGGATGCCATCGTACGTAGTTTTTCTTACAATAAAAAATATAATTTCCATGAACAAAAAAATTTCATACAAACAAAAAATAAACAGCAAAAACAGTTTAAAAAATAGAGAAAAGGAGGCGCCAAGAAAAAAATTGCATGCAGGCGCTGAGGACCCTTGGACCCCTTGGACCTATTCTGATTTCAAATTTTGATGAATTTTTATAATTCAACCACTTTTTGCAGGGCTGTAATACTTTAGTAGTTAGTTTAAACTAAAAACTTGATTATCGTACAAAATTTCATCAAAACTAACAAAAAAATTAAAAAATTAATTTAAAAGTTTCCCAACTGATACCTTTCAAAGGGTTTTTGAATTTTATAATTTGGTTGAAATTTTTTTCTGAAAACGTTGACAAAAATATTGAATTTTTCTGCAAATTCTAATAAATAGATCGGAACATGGCCTTGCAAAACTTATCAACGCGGTTATAGAGTTTCTTTGAATGGCTTTAAATTTTTAAAACCGCTGCAACCGTTTTTATCGCTGCAATATCGGCAAAAGTCAAATTTTTGTATACATACTTTTTCCTAATTTGGGGTTAAGCGGTTCAGAATAACTTGAAACATCGAAAAAACACAAAATTAGCGAATAGTATTTTCTGGGGAAAACATATACTCATATTATTATATTGTTTAGGCCAGCCTAAGCATTAAATTCTCCTTCTCCTGCGAGAAGTTAATAAACACCATAAATATTTTTTTTATTATTTTAATAATTTTTACAACTGTCCTGAAACGGACAACAAGTAAAATTTTTGACATGAAACTGAAGGCGTTGGCAAAATACAAATCATCTGACCATTGCCAGTGAATTGTCGAAGGTCTTATCTATTGTTGATTAATGCAGAAGAAATTTTCTTTTTAATCGGGCCCTGGTAGGGTTGTTCTGAAGTTTTCTCGCGAGCAAGTTTGGATGTTCAGCTAGGCGATTTCTATATTTGTGTGAGTAAGCGATTATTTCATCCTTAACTGTGCTAGTGCCTGTGTCTTTGTGTATTAACCAATTTGGAACATATTTTGGTGCTTTCAAAATTTCTTTTAATAACTTGTTTTGAAATCTTTGAATTATTAAGGCGTTTGAGTTGGAAGTTGATCCCCATAGCTGTATGCCGTATGTCCAAATTGGTTTAATGATGGCTTTATAGAGGTAAATTTTATTATGAGTGTCAAGTTTTGATTTTCGTCCAAGGAGCCAATGATATCTTTTTCTGGTTTCTTCTAGCTGCTTTCTCTTTTTCTTAATGTGTTCTTTCCAGGTTAGTCTCTTATCCAGGTGTAAACCTAGATATTTTACTGTGTCTGTTTGATCTATAATTTCGTCATTAAGTCTTACTGCAGGACAAGTCCCTTTGCAAAGAGTGAAAGTGATGAAACACCATAAATATAGCTTTAGAATTTGAAGTCTACCAACACAAGAAGCCAACATCAAAAAAACATAATTTATAAAAAAAAATAGGTGCATCAATAATAGCTAATCTTCTGAGATATGCGTTACCAAGGAAACCAGTATCAATAAATAATATTGTTATCCAAAAATTCGTCCATAAAAGTGAGTGATAAAATTTCCCTACAACAAAATAGCTATTTGATAAATATAATGGCTGAGGAGACTCCAGTAACGATTTTAACAAACTTTTGCGCGGCCAGCAAACTGCCATTGCCTGAATTCACCTTGATTCATGACGGAGCGGGCACCAGGAACCCCATTTTCAAATTTGAAATGCGTCTAACATTGAAGGATACTAAAATAACAGTAGTGGGAGCAAGAACCACGAAGACACAAGCTAAACAGGAGTCCGCAAGATTGGCACTTGAGAAGTTATCGGAAATGAATTTATTTCACCCAAAAAATTGGAGGTTAAGGACACCGTTGAGGCTAGTACATCCACCAGTGCTAATTCCGCACCAGTGGGACTGTTAGCTGAGTTTTGTGATAAAAAACATCTACCGACACCTTTGTCTAGTTTAGACGAAGATACAGGGCCGGCTCATGGCGAAAAATTTACTACGCAATGTTCTGTATCTACTTTTGAAGAAACTGCAAGTGCATGTACCAAAAATGATGCCAAACAGTTATCGCCTCAGAAAATGATAAATATGTTAGATGAATTAGATATTGATGAGCATGTAGAACCAATCAATGAAACGATGGTTCCTAAAATTATAAAAGCAAGATCTAAATTTCATCTACCGATTGTGGTAAATAATATAGCGGAATATCACCCTTTCGTCAAATGTGGTGAGGAAAATTGTAAAAAAGCTGTATCGATTTTGAACGATAATTCTTTAGGAGCAGAAGAAAAATTGAATTTAGTTATGAATGCTTTAAATCTAGATTATGAGATTATGGAAACGCCAACAACAGAAAATAGCACAATCTACGTATTAACAATATGTGCAATGGAGCCCCAAATGCTAGTAAGCGACTACACTTTGCCAGATTTGTACGATAGGACAAATAAATATTTGAGCGAATTTTTGGAGTGATTCCATTATAGTATATAATATATATTATAGTATATACATTATAATTTTCTTACTGTAATTATACAAATATAATTTTACTAAACTTTTATAGTTTTTATTGAATTTGTCATAGTTCTGATTTCACCAGAAAATCTGAAGTGGTAATTTTGTTTTCTCGATGTTTCTCGAAGTTATACTAAATCGTTTCAACATCTAATTTGAGAAAAGTATATGTGTGTATAAGAAACCATTTTTGACATTTCGTAGATTTCGAAAAATTCAAAGATTTCAGTTGAAAATGGTGCTGAATAATTTCTGGTTTCCGGATCGTTTCTTTGCAATTAATTGTTGAAGTCGTTTTTAATAAATTTTAATATAGTTCATGGTCTAACTAAACGAACATCCTAAAATATTATAGTCCTGAAACCGATTCTGCCTCACAACAACCCAATGTTATGGCAAGATCATGTTACGCTCTAACTTGCATACATAATGCTACTGAATCATACTGTCAAAATGTCATGTATTTGCTGTGCATTCTGGTGTTTTACACATAAACTGCAACGTCACTCGTATGTTATGAAGCTGGGTCAGAAACACTCTGTTATCTAACATCGTTTTTTACATTTGTGCGGTTTCTAGGTTAGGTTTTCTATCTGACAACCTGAGAAAAACGCCTGACTGCACAGCAATGTCAATGTTTTGTCAATATTTAGTATGGAAAGTTCTTCATAACATAGCCTTGCCATAACATTGGTCTGTTATGAAGCAGAATCCGGCCATTAATTTAATTAATTACCCATAATTGGTGTCATCTGCAAAGCATTAACAGCAATATTGGCACCGGATAAATGTCTCCACCTTGCGGGAGGCGTACGAAACACCAACGGTCCCGGTTCGGATATAGGATGCTTTTCTACTTGCAAAGCCGAGATAACAACCGCTTCACGGTTGTAATACCTGATAAAAAAAATAAAATAAGTGATCTAATTTTAAACCATAAATGGAATGAAGATTATTTATTATTTACTATTTAATTATTTACTGTCTAAAGTATTTTTGATAATTAATTAACCTTATTCTTTCATAAAAGATCATTCTTTTTTTGTCTTTGTTATTTTTCTGTTATTTCTTTTTTTACGGTAAGATAAGAGAGCAAGCTTAAAATATCGAAACTTACTTCTTAAGTAAAATCCTTATATGTGTATCAGTGGCTGTTGGAAACATTGCATGGATACGGTTTACGGCTTGTTCTATTTCCATTGGATCTGGCTGCAATTATAAACAAATAAATAGTTATAAATATTAAATTGTACATATATACAGGGCCGGCCCTGGGGTCCTCAGCGCCCGCATGCAAGATTTGTTCTAGCGCCCCCCCCCCAATAATTTTAACTGTTTTATCAGTTGTTCATTAAAATTATATAAACATTTACTTTATTTTTTAAAATTAATTTTTAATCATTCTGGATTTAATACACAATTTAGATGTAATCTAAAATATATGTGTATAAAATACATTGATTTCAAATTTATTTAGATAATCGAGGCGATTCGCGAGTTGATTATATTTATGATTATGTTTTTAAATTTTCAATTATTTTTAACGTATGTGCAATATTAATATTTGGGTTTTGAAACATTTAACTTACTTATTATGCGATTTATTCTATAGCAAATCAAGCCAAAAGAGCAAAAAATATTTATTTCATAAACATAACATTCATATTTTATGTTTCAAATTAAATTTTATTTTAATTTATTATTTCATTATTTACAATATCCAAAATTGCATCGTAAACTTCTCCTTATTGGTATCGTAAGAGCCGAATTGTATTCAGCTTTACTTTCCCATCAGATTCAAAGTATCAGATTGTTGTTTTAAAGTTAAACTTTTAACGTATTTTTAAAGAATTGTCCAAAATTAGTAAAAGATGCAACGAAATTACATATTCCCTTAACTGTACTGAAACAAACAAATTATATTTGTATCTGTATTATTTCTGCATAGTAAATAATTAAATTATGTATAAAAATATCTTAAAGATTTTTGTTCCTAAGTACTTGATTATTAAAAATTTTCTTGATCAATTCATGACCCATGAGACAAAGTATATTTTCGAGGCAGTAGTTTTATTATTTGTTAAAATTGAAGATAAAGATGATATTTATAATTTGATTATTAACAAATTGTTCAATTCACGACCTATGAGACAAAGTATATTTTCGAGACAGTAGCTTTATTATTTGTTAAATTTGCAGAAAACGATGACAATTATAACTTGATTATTAAAGATTTTCTTGGTCAATTTACGACCTATAAGACGAAGTATATTTGCGATGCATTTATTACAACATTTGTTAAATCTACAGAAAACGATGATAATTATAACTTGGTAATTAAAGTAGCTTTATTATTTCTTAAAATTGGCTTTCGTTTTTCATATTTGATCTATTTCGATAACCCTAACCACGCATGTCTTCAACATTCAAAATTCATCAGAAGCGAAACCCATTTTTTATTTTCCCGATTATAATTTGTCTATATTTTTTAACAAGTTCTGTTTTAATTAAATCAGCTCGCAATTTTTCGTCAATAAAGCCCAATAGTTAATTTAATCTTTCGCAGGTTTGAGCTTATGGGATTGAACACCAGAATAATTGAATAGGTAGATTAAGCAATTGGTTAATTGTTAGTATCTTCGTATCCCTGATTAAGTTAGATTGTTTATTATAATTTATTATGTATACTAGATTTTATACAAATAATTCTGGATTTTATATAAAAAATATAAATATTATATTATAAATTTAATTTCCGAAACTCGTTTTGGCGCCCCCTAAGGCTTGCGCCCGCATTTTTTGCATGCATTGCATGCAAGGCAGGACCGGCCCTGCATATATATATATATATATATATATATATTCTATATATAACATTCTTCATTAATGATGTATGTAAATATACTCCTCCAAATAATTATTTGGATTTTGATAAATCTTTCTGAAGTTTGTTAAGGGAATTTTTTTTGATGTATGTGATTATAAAAATATAGTAATATTGTAGAAATAAATAGAAAATATTGCAAACAACGACATGTTATTGTTTGTCATTGAAAATATTTGAGACATTGTTTGGCATTGAAAACAAGGAAAGGTTCTGTGTGCCAATGGGGATGCCAATGGAATATTGAGGCTAATGTCTGTCAGATGTTTCAAGGTTAACGAGGACATTTGCTTCTGTTTTATATAATGGATTTCAATAGAGTCAAATAGAGTACGCTTATAGGGAGTACTTTGAAATCTGTTAGCATCGATTGAAGGCTGATCCAGAAAGTGTACATAGAACAGAAAGTGAAGGTTAGAGTAAACCATAGATAAGGAAAGTGGAGTATGGAGTAAACCATATACTCTTCTTTTATCTATGGAGTAAACCAAGAAGATAGAAATAGCGTTGAAATAGGTAAAGGAGTGCAGAATATCTTTATACTTATTTATCTATGGATACTGGACACTTTTCCATTGAAACAAGAAGAATCATCACCATAAAATACGCAGATGATCTCGTGGCGATATAGAAAATCAAATCCAAATATGAGTAAACCACATACTCTTCTTTTATCTATGGAGTAAACCAAGAAGATAGAAATAGCGTTGAAATAGGTAAAAGAGTGCAGAATATCTTTATACTTATTTATCTATGGATACTGGACACTTTTCCATTGAAACAAGAAGAATCATCACCATAAAATACGCAGATGATCTCGTGGCGATATAAAAATCAAATCCAAATATGATGAGCAGAATCGTTGAAGTGGGTAAAAGATATGGAATAGACACCAATATCGACAAATCTCGAAGTGATAAGAATGTCGAAGCAAGATGAGCCTCTGAAGATAAAGGTAAGAAATCAAGAATTGGAAGATGTGGATCACTTCAAGTACTTGAGAAGCATCCTGAGAGATGGACACTGTCTGAGATAGATCAAGGCAAAGATTGCAAGCGTCAGCGCCATGTCAATGCGCTGAATGCCAATGTATTCACGAAAAAGAAAAAGCTTTTGTCAAGCGAATAGGGTTTCGATTTGCAGAAGAGGCTAATAAAGTATTATTTCTGGAGCATAGCTCTGTACGAATCAGAAATACGGGCAAAAACTGTCTGGAGAGTTTAAAATATGATGCTGAAGATGAATGGAGAAGATAAAGTATCAAATAAGGTGTTAAAAAGAGTAGTCAAAGAAAAGACTCTAGAAAATTGGAAGATCTGTATCACTTCAAGTACTTGGTAAACACCCTGACCAGAAATGGATACTGCACGAGAGAGATTAGGGCAAGAATTGCGAGCGCCAATGCGGTATTCACGAAAAAGAGAAAGCTTCTGAGAAGCAAACTAAGTCTCGATTTGCAGAAGAGGCCTATGAAGTGTTATATCTGGATTATAGCTTTATGCAAACTGGAGACAGGACTGGAGAGTTTTAAAATGTGATGCTGGAGATGAATTAAGAAGATAAAGTATCAAATAAAGAATAATTAAAAAGAGTGAGCAAAAAAGAATATCTGGTGAGTAGAACACGGTCATTAAAAGTAAAGAAAACTAAATTGGACCCAGTCTGCGAAAAGAGTGCCTCCTACACGACGTCGTCGAAGGTAAAATGGAAGAGCTGAAAGAAATGGAAACAAAAAGAATGCAGATGATTGATGACTTACGCAATAAGAGAAAATACAAGAAACTGGTAGTCGTAGAACAGAACCAGGAAGCATGGAAGCAAAAGTTTGGAAAGGAAAATAAGTGTATAAAGGTAATAAAATGATAATTGGTATAATAAACAGGGAAAGGAAAAGCTAATCATTGATATGTGGTGTTCTCGCGTCATGAATCTGCTTTCCTTAACCAATTATAACTACTATTTATTATTATTTATACATAACTACTTACATTTAACAACAATCGGTTTTGTGCGATCGGGCTGCCATCTGTCGGCGTGTGAAAAGCGGCCTGGACCGGAAATTGTGCAGGATAGACATGATATGGTGATGAATTGGCCTAAATGAAAACTTGGTATAAATATTTATAATTCTTAACTATTAATAATAATATTCATAATTAATATTTGCATTGTGAGATATTCTGCCTTGGCACACATCATACACTTATATACAGTAAAACCCCGTTAAGACAATTTTTTTGAAACTGACAAAAAGCGCGTATTGAGCGGGGAAGCTTATTAGGCGGGCTAGAGACAACAAGTTGCCAAGTGCAAAGATCGGCAGAAAAAGTTCTGGTAAGCGAGAGGTCGTAATAAGCATGATTGTGTCTTAACGGGGTTCTATCGTATATACCAATATAATAATAATATTTTAATAAATACATATCTATCTTCATATATAATTCATATTCAGAGTTCAATAATATCATAATTCAATCAAAATGTTAAGAGAATTTCTATTCAAAAACCTTCATAAATTTATTTAATAATATCATTTCTTTAACTATATAACAAACCCAAATTGCAAACATTAAGTTTTTTTGTGTTTATTTTTTGACTTTGTAGTCATATACCTTCATCAATCAACTTTACAATTTTCACAAGTATTAAATTTAAATTTGTTTATACATGGTGTTAAGTTATTATTTTCAATTTGGGTTCGTAACCTTGCTAAAGCGATTGTTGCGCACTCACGTGGCGGAAACTGAACAAAAATTCATGTTATTAATTGATATTATAAATACGAATTTTGGTGTTACTATCTAATTATTAGATGGTAATTTTTTTAATTATTATAAATACTGACCTGAACAGGGCCGCATTCGTTCATAATTCCATTTATTTGTTTCAATTTCAGTCTCGGGTCCTCCCATGATGTAGTCTTTGTATAGTGGTTCAGATAATAACTGAAACATGAAAATATAAATAATTTAATATATATATACAAAATATAAATTTAAATATATATATACATCTATATTTTATTGTTATTGAATTTGAATAAAATATATTTGTCAAATATTTGAACCAAAATATAATGTCTGGCAAATAGTATTATGCATATATAAGGAAGTGATATTTATATTTCTATATTAAAATAATAATAGTATAATAGTCTAATAAATATTACTAATTTTAAATTTATTTTTATTAGTTAAACTATTAATTAAAATTTCATTATTATTTTTATTTATGAACTCGAACTACTTTTTGGATTCCAATACTAAATATTATTTTTTATAATTTTGTAAATTCATAACTTGCAGATGCCTTTCTAATCTTTATTTAGTGTAAAATAGCTATCACTTTTATTATTATAATTACAAGTATATTTTTTAATATTAATAATATATTTCAATTTTATATTAATTTATTATTTTATTTATTTGTTTATTACAAAATTTTCAGATGTCCTAACTATTAATAATTATTTAAGAATATAATACTGTCATAAACTATAAATATATTCATAATATAACTATATAGTGACATTAAAAATATTAATTTCTCTCTGAAGATTGAAATAATTATTAATTTTATTAAATTATATATTTTTTATTATTATGAATTTATTTTAAAAATATTCTTGCATTAATTAGTTATTTCTATATATATATATATATATATATATATATATATTATAGCTTCATTTTATTATTATTATTATTTTTAATATTATTCATTAATAAACATTAATAAGTTTAATTACACAATTTTCAAACAAATCTGTTTAAATTCACTTATCATTTTTAATAACTATTATATTTTATTATCACTATAACAATATTTTTTAAATATTATTATATCTTTACAATTAATTTTTATTTCACAAATTTTAGACACTTTTTTAATTTCTATACTGTATTAAATGACTTAATAATTAAATAAACACACTTTTTTAAATTTGATTAAAACACATAGAAATAAACTAGTGGCGTATGGCATCGTGCCTTAAGACAAATTGCTGGAACTTCCCGTCCCGTAATAAATGAAATATTCGAAGAATATTAAATGATTTCAAATATATTATTATAAATGCTGTAATTTTCATTATTCATATTTTACAGATAAAATATAAGAGCTTATCAATTGGACGATGACATTTATATATGTTTACACAAAAAGAGAATAAACAAAACTTAATCAAGCGGAGTTAGAATGAAAGATCTTATCTCATATTTTTAAAAATTATATAAACTGAACTGCAAAGGTAAAATTACTGTGAATAGATAGTTTTTTCAAAAAAGTGTACACTATTAATAATATTTATAAGAACTTAAGTTATATAATAATGCTACTTATTAATTAAAAAAAAACAACATATATTAAACACATAACTATAGCTATTTTTTTAAAACTTTGCGTAAGGTGAGTTATTGTAATCGTTCCAAAATTAAAATTGAAAATTTTTGCATATTTTTATGTTTCAAATATTTCTGAACCAAGAGGAATACCTCACAAAAAGTGGATGTGTGTGTATATATGGATACAATTTTTGCGTCCAGATTTTCGGGCGCACGGATCAAACGATTTGAATGGTTAAAAAAACATTCGATTCTTTTTGATAGGGAGATGTGCTGATTGGCTTTTCGCAAAGTCAGATCTAGCCGTTTCGGAGATACGGAGCAAAAAGTGCAGAAATTAGAAATCAAGTTTCTGAGAAAACGAAGCATCCGATTTGAATGGTCAGAAAAACATTCAATTCGTAATGACGGGGATAAGTGGTGATTAGTTTTTGGCAAAGGCAGGTCTAACTGCTTCAGAGATACCGAGGTTAATTTGCAAAAAATGACAGTTTTTGAGAGAACTAATTTACAAATTTGAAAAAAGTGTGTGTGTGTGTGAACACATTTTTTTGCCGTAAATCGACGTTTTCTCAAAAACGGTTGGACCGATTTCAAAAATTTAAAAGCCATTAGATGTATCTCGATGAGGACTAGCGTTTCTATGTTTTGTGCGACGATCTGCCGAGCCGTTTCTTTGTAAATCGCAGAAAAGTAAAAAAATTTCGTCTACGTTTTAACCCGCAATTCTGAATCGATTTTCTTGAATTCGTAAATTCAAAAACTGTTCGAAACATATTGGTTGGGAATCGACCTGATTAGTTTTTGGTAAAGATCGTCCGCGCCGTTTTCTTGTAAAAACGTGTTAAAAAATTTTTTTTCGACGATTTCCACAATTTTTTTTGACGGTAGATACCATAGTCTTATAGATCATACTAAAATATTACGGTCCTACAACATGTCGTTTAATTTAATAATCGTCAAAGTTTGCAAAAGTTAGAGTCGTTTTTTTGGCGTTTGTCAAAATTACAACTTTCATCGACGTTTGCTCAAAAACGCCTGAACCGATTTCAAAAATCTAAAATCCAATCGATGTATTTTGATGTAGATTATTTTTGTCAGTTTTGTCCAGCGATCGGCCTAGACATTTCTTTGTAAATTGGAAAAAGGTGTTAAACTTTTCGTCCACATTTAAGCTCATACTACCGAATCGATTATCAAAAATGAAATACTGTTCGAAAGATATCATTTGGGAATGATACTGATTTGTTTTAGTTGAAAATCTATCGAGCCGTTTTCTTGTAATTCACTGTTGAAAAAAAAAAATTAAGCCGATTTTTATGGAACTTTTTTTTGGCGATATATATAATGGTCTTACTGAAATATTACGTCCTTACGACAAGTAGTTTAATTTTAAAAATTCATCAAAATTTGGGAAAATGAGTAGTTTTTTTGACGTTTGTTAAAATTAAAATTAGACGATTTACTTGGTATAACGATAGAGTGTACGTTCGTTTTCAATTACGTGTGATGAATCCACTCGGAATACTTTTAATCACTCATAAATTAATTTATTTTTATTGATTATTTATACATATCGGGAAGTTCATGTAACTTGCCTCAAGGCTAAACTACCAATACCAACTAGTTTAATTCTTATATTAGAAAGAGTCCTTCATATTATATTTGATTGATTGAGTTATGTTTATTTACTTTTCTGTAAATAATAATTTATTTGAAAACATTTAATATTTCTCGAATATTCCGTTACGGTACGGAAAGTTCCAGCAATTTGCCTTAAGGCACGATGCCATTACCACTAGTTAAACTTAATATTTAATCTAAAACACTGATGACATTGAAAACAAATAAAAATTCCCAATATTCTTATAAATATTAGGATTAGTTAAGTTTTTAAATATTTATTTTAAACTTTAATTTATATTAATATTTAATCCAAAACGAAATAACACTGATGACGTCTTAGACAATCAACTCCCGAAACGTGCAAGTACACCACAAATTTATTTCCAAAACAATCCCCTATATCGTTATAAACAATTAATAATGATTTGTTTAAATAATTACTGCCTGCCTGTCCTATTATCGTATCGGGCTTCCCAGCCCGGCGGCATGGGCCCCCTTTTGTCCACGCCGTCCGCCATGTTACTGTGTTATAGTAGTTGCATAAGCGTCACGGCGCATGCCCGAAAAAGGATTTTACGATATTGATGTTTTAGATTATTGTTTTGATTTGATGATTTGAGAGATGGACTAAGAAGATATTTAAACTAGTTGGTATTGGTATTTTGCCTTGAGGCAAGTTACATGAACTTCCCGATATGTGTAAATAATCGACTTAATCAATAAACTAGTAGTGTATGGCATCGCGCCTTAAGGCAAATTGCTGAAACTTCCCGTACCAAAAATTATTTTTGAAACATTTTTAAAAAAAATTACTCTGAAAAATTAGATTTTTGAGAAACTATAAATTTTTGACAAAAATTTTTTTTTTTAAAAAAAAGACTTTTTGAAGAAAATTTTGAAGAAATACTTTGGAAATCCTGAACTTTTTTTCAGAACATTCGCACTGCTTTAACTGCATAGAGACGAAATATCGAAGAGCGTAAGCGCCTCGCCGCCGTCTAACGGATAAGCATTGGTACGGAACCCATAGGAATGCAAACAAAATTTATACTAATTGTTAAAATCTCTATAAAATATCTGATAATTTGATGTGCATATGTCTAATGATCATTTTTGACCGCCAGATGGCATTTTTTTTCTTTTTTCACTAGATTTCCGAAACCGCTAGACCTGCCTTCATTAAACTTTGATCAGTTCTTCATTTTGTTAATACAAGTAAAATGTTTTATAAATTATTCAAATCGGACGCTCCATTCTCTTAAAAACTGAGTTACCGTTTTTGGCACTTTTTGCCCCATATCTTCATATCATATCTTCGGCTGCCTTTGTCAATAACTAATCAGCACGTCTCATTATCAATACGAATCGAATGTTTCTTGAATTATTCAAATCGCTTCATCCGTGTTCCCGAAATCGTTGACGAAAATTTGTATCCGCACACACATACACACACACACACACATACACACACACACACATACATCCATTTTTTCTTAGGTATGCCAAAATATTCAGAAACCTCTGAAACGTAAAGATATATAAAAAATTTCATTTTCGATTTTTTTGCGATTACTATAAAAACGCCTGAACTGATTTCAAATATTTAAAAGCCATTTGATGTGTCTCAATGAGGACTATCGCTTGTCAGTTTTGTGCGACGATCGACTGAGCCTTTCCTTTGAAATTTGGAAAAAAGTGTTAAGCTTTTCGTCCACATTTAAACTCATAGTACCGGATCGATTTAAAAAAATCAAAAACTGTTCGAAAGATATTAGTTTGGAATGATACGGATTAGTTTTAGGTGAAAATCTACCGAGCTGTTTTCTTGTAATTAACTGTTGTAAGAAAAAATTAAGCCGATTTTTATGGAATTTTTTTTAGCGATATATATCATGGTTTTATAGAACTTACTGTAATATTACGGCCTTACGACAAGTAGTTAAATTTTAAAAATTCATATAAGTTTGAGAAAATGAGTAGTTCTTTTGACATTTGTTAAAATTAAAATTAGACGATTTACTTGGTATAACGATAGAGTACTTGGTCTTAATGAGCATACTAAACCATTAAAGTCTTACGGAAACTGGTTCAATTATAAAATTTATTGATTTTTGAATATTTATTTTTAAAAAATACCCCGAACGAACACGTCAAGTGTTCGTTTTCAATTAAGTGTAATAAATCCACTCGGAATACTTTTAATCACTCATTTATTGATTAAGTCGATTAATTACACATATCAAAAAGTCCATGTAACTTGCCTCAAGGCAAAATACTAATACCAACTAGTTTAGAATCGATTCGGTAATATGAGCTTAAATGTGGACGAAAAGTGAACACTTTTTTCCAAATTTCAAAGTAACGGCTTGACAGATTGTCGCACAAAACTGAAGAACGATTGTTCTCATTGAGATACATCAAATGGCTTTTAAATTTCTGAAATCAGTTCAGACGTTTTTGAGAAAACGTCGATCAGAAGTCTTATTCTGACAAATGCCAAAAAACGATACTAATTTTTGAAAACTTTGACGAATTTTTAAAATTAAACTACTTGTCGTAGGACCGTAAAATTTTAGTATGATCTATGAAGACTATGGTATCTACCGTCAAAACAAAAATTCATAAAAATCGTCGAAATTTTTTTTTGAAAACAATTTATTACAAGAAAACGGCCCGGCCGATCTTTACAAAAAACTAATCAGGTCGATTCCCAACCAATACCTTTCGAACAGTTTTTGAACTTTCAAAATCGATTCAGAATTGCGAGCTAAAACGTAGACAATTTTTTTTTCACTTTTCTGAGATTTACAAAGAAACGGCTCGGCCGATTATCGCTCGAAACTCAGAAACGCTAGTCCTTATCGAGATACATCGAATGACTTTTGAATTTTTGAAATCGGTTCATCGTCGATTTTCATGCGTCATTAATCAGCAAATCAATCAAGACAAAAACGAAAACTTGAGACATTAAAATTAGTTTTAAACTAGTTCTGCATGGTTTTGTTTCTTAAGGCAAATTGCTGGAACTTCCCGTACCGTAATTAAACATTCGGAAACAAAAATAATCAATATTTAAAAATAATTATTACAAGTTTTTTTACAAGAACAAAAACTACATAAACGAACACTTTTTGAATCACTCTAGTCAGATGAGCTGTCCTCGCACATTCTGCTATTCTTTGCACATTTTGCTTCGTATCTCCGAAACCGCTAGACCTTTTTTTGCAAAAATGTAATCAATTATTCACTCAATCAATACAAATTAAATGTTCTTTGAATCATTCTAATCGGATCTGCCGTTCTCTCAACCAATATTTACTCAACCAATGCGAATCGAAAGTTCTTTAAATTATTCTAATCGGTTGATCCGTACTCTCAAAACTTGAAAAATTGTTTCCAAGCATACGTACAAACACACGCCACACATTCATCATTTTTTTCAAAGGTATGCTAAAATGTTCAGAAATCCTTGAAACATAAAGATATACAAAAATGTTCATTTTAGATTTTTTTGCGGTTACAATAACTTACCCTATGGGAAATTGATAATAATGCATCCTGTAGAAATAAACATTTATATTTTTAATATTAAACAACTACATATTTTACACCGAGGAACAAACATGATTGTCCTTGAAATAAAGGATAATAAATTGCCCTAATAATATATATAAAGTAAATTAAATTAACAAAAACTAATAACTTAATTAATAACAAATGTATTTGTAATAAATTTACCTGGCCAATTCTCACAAACAAATGTTTTAAATCATTTGATTCTATAAATCCTTCATTATATATTCCACATTTATAAGGGAGTGAACTTCTTTTTGTTTTTATAAGCTATTCTCATGAACAGTAGTTGTGCAAAATATTTATTAAATCTTTCACCTTCATAAGGCGTTCTTCAGGGTAAAATTTTTTATGCAGGTCTAATGCTAGTTTTGTTATAAATGTTTCGTTGCATATCTCACAATTATAATAACTTTCTCCAGAATGAATCACTTCATGTTGACTTAATTCTTGCATTGTTCTAAATGTTTCATTGCATATTTCACAATTATAAGAACGTTCTTTAGTATGATTTCTTTCATGCCACTTTAATGAATCCTTTCCATTAAATGTTTTATTGCATATTCCACATTTATATGGACGTTCTCCAGTGTGAATCACTTTATGTTGGTTTAATTGATGTTTTGTTACAAATATTTTATTGCATGTATCGCACATATAAGTACATTTTCCAATATGTAGCATTTCGTGATATTTTAAGCATTGTTTGCTTTTAAATATTTTGTTGCATGTCTTACAATTATAAGGACCTTCTCCAGTACGGATTATTTCATGGTAGTTCAAAGCTTCTATTGTAATAAATGTTTTATTGCATATTTTACAACTGTAAGGACGTTCTCCGGTATGAATTCTTCTATGTTGTTTTAATCTATAATTTGATGCCAATATCTTGCCGCATGCCTCACATCTAAAAGGGCATTCTTTAGTATGCAGTAATAAATGATATTCTAAATTACCTAACCTTGAAAATCTTTTATTGCATTCTCCGCCATGAATTGTTGCATGCTGATTCAATGCTTGTTCTGTTTTAAATGTTTTGTTGCATGTCTCACAATTATGAGGGCGTTCTCTGGAATGGAATATCTTATGACGGATTAATCCTTGTTTTAATTTGAATGTTTTATTGCATGTCTCACATTTGTAAGGAAGTTCTCCAGTATGAGTTGATAAATGTTTGTTTAAATTTGATGACTGTGTAAATCTCTTATTGCATATTTCGCACTCATAAGGACGTTCTCCGGTGTGAGCCTTTGTATGCCGGTTTAATTTTTGTGTTGTTTTAAATGTTCTATTACATATTTCACAACTATAAGAACCTGGTTCAGTGTGAGTTGATATATGTTTTTCTAATCTCCATAACTTTGTAAATCTCTTATTGCATATTTCGCACTTATGAGGACTTTCTAGAAAGTGAATCATTTTATCTTGGTTTAAAAATTTTTCTCTTATGTATACATTATGGGGTTTCAAGATATCGGTTGTTTCAAGTTTTCCTGAAACTGTTTCAGATGATTCGCTCATATTATTTACTAAATTACTTGTAAAACCGATTTCTTCATTACATATATAAGGTTTTTCATCGTGGTTTTCAATTGCTTCTTGTTTTATTTCTTCATCAATAGTTACCTCTGATTTTAAAAATCGCTGAAGAGATATTTCTTCGTTTTCCAGACATTCTTCTGATATATCATAATAATCCAATTCTTGTTTGACTTGTGGACAATAATCAAATTCTTGTTTAACTTGAGGATATTCGATTGGTTCAATTTTAATTGTTGGGTTTGAGTTTGTTCTTTCAGACATCTTCGCCTTTTGTTGGTTCTCGCACATAAACTGGAAATTTTAAAATATTTTATTATTAATTAATATGTTTTGTTCAAATACAATACAATACTAAGGCTAACATTTGTTGTTATTTATTTTCGCATATAAAACACAATTTCATTAAACACTTTGACATTTCTATTTAATTCTAACCTCGAAGTTTCATGGGATCAGGTTGGACAACGTTGAAAACATTTCAACGGCGAATTTATCGGCGGCAACATTTAAGTCATAGATTACATAATTACATATTTACCACAGAGAATTTAATTGATTTTATTTCAACCCAACATCGCGCTTAAACCCTATAATTGATTTGAAATCTTATATTTTAAGGTATTATAGGGTTTGTATGTAAAAAGTTCTAATAAATTAAACGCTGTAGTTTTTGAATGGTGCCAATTTTGAAATGCTTATTTATCTGTGATTGCGACTATCCATGATACCATGATATCCATGATAAATGAAACGTACCGAGTGTTGTCACACCTGATCTCTAACGTATGCGAAGTGAGACTCAAATCGAAATGTCAAAGTCATTAATAGATATATTAAAACATATTTATCATTGATGCAAAACATATAAATTGAATATATAGATATATATAGAATTAATAGAATATATTTATCACTGATGAAAATCATACAAATTCAAAGCTTTCTTAATTTTTTATGAATTACTGTTAGTTTGTTTATGAAAAACGACTAGCGCCGAAAATGTCCGAAGAAACAATTTCAAACCCAATAATTAAAATTGAACCAAGGCAGTATTCTCCAGTTAAACAAGAACTTGATGATTACGACATTACTCCAGAAACATATTCAGAAAACGAGGTAAAATATTTACAGCAATTTTCAGAATTTGAGATGAAAATAAACAAAAAAATAAAACAAGAAAAAGTTGATGATCAAGATGAAACAAGTTTCGACGAGGGATCTCACATGGAAAACGAACAAATATGTCAACAGCGATTTTTAGATTCTGAAGTCACTATAGACAAAGAAATCAAGAAAGAAACAATTAATGATCAAGATGAAGCTCGTTTCGATGAGAATTCTTACGCAGATAATGAAGAAATATGTCTACAGCAATTTTTAAAATCTGAAGTAACAATTGACGAAGAAGTTAAGCATGAACCGATTGATGAGCATGTTGCAGACACCAGTAAAAACAAAAATATTGATAATGTCGGTGAGTCAAGTGATTTAGTGGATAATAGAAATGAATGCAATAAATCATTTAAAAAAGTTTTAGGAAAACGTAAAACTACCCTAAACTTGAAACAATCCTTGAAATGTAAAATTTGCAATAAAAATTTCTCAACAATTAGCACTTTATATCGACATAAAATGATTCATACAGGAGAACGTTCTTACAAATGTAAAATCTGTAATAAAGCATTTACAACAAATAATTGTTTAGGTCAGCATAAAAAATTTCATGCAAGAGAACGTCATTACAAATGTGAAATATGTAATAAAGCATTTATAACAAATGGTAATTTAAGTCAACATAAAAAGATTCATACGGAAGAACGTCCTTACAAATGCGAAATATGTACTAAAACATTTATAACAAATGGTAATTTGAGTCAACATAAAAAGATTCATACCGAAGAACGTCCTTACAAATGCGAAATATGTAATAAAGCATTCATAGCAAAACAACCATTGAACCTACATCTAACAATTCATACTGGAGAACGATCACATAAATGTAAGATATGCAATAAAGCATTCAGATTAAAACAAATTTTAAAACAACATGAATTAGTCCATTCTAAAGAAAGCAATCATTAATGAGCCGCATGCAATGAAACATTTGCAGCTTCGCAATCAATAAAGCGATATAAAACAGTTTATAATGTAGCACTGTAGAACAATTTATAATAGAGGGTTAAATTTTCATAATTTTAGACACAGTAAGACATTAAAGTTACAATTAGCAGACGTTCTCATCAGTATAGAACAGTTTGGTAAATATTGCTTATGAAATATCTTTGAAAATATTTGTGTTGACTAATAAAATATAATATTTAACTATATATTATTCACCAAATATTGTTTACTGTCAGAAGTTATTAAATGAATATAGAGTGTTATTATTTAAATCAAATTGTTTTTTATTTAACTATGTACATATGTATATAAATAACATAAAAATTAAAACTTGTTATAAATAATATTTGTTATTATTGTTCACTTATTAACTATGCATAGAATAGGTTATAGTAATCGTTCAAAAAATGAAAATCAAAATTAACATTTTAACATACCTTAAAATAAATGAATGTATATGTATGCATGTGTGTACAAATTTTCTATGAAACCTATGAAACGGTTTTTCATTTTCGATTTATTTGCAATTACTATAACTTACTCTGCGAGAAGTTAAAAATATTGTTAAGGATTCTTTTATTTATAACCCTTTTGTTATGATTCACTTTATTGCTAGTTGCCGATTATTCCAATTCATTCAATTATCGATCATTTATTACTAAAATATTGCTTCTATCTTTTATCCCGTACTGCTGAAAGACTAAATATTAGAGCTACTACGAATGAGAGGCTTTTGTTCATGACTTAACTAAACAATATTTTATACTCACATTTTTACATACTTATCCTAATCTTAATCTGAACTATACATCTTGAATCTAGACTTTTCTGTAAGTACCATTGTCTATCGTGTCCATACTCGGGCTCCCGATTCACATCACACACTAGTCACATTTTAACTAATAGTTTACTTTCGGTTTGGGGACAGCTTCCGATGCGCTGTCCCCCACAGCATTCCTTGCTTACATTATCACAACATCAATTATAAAACACTTCGCGCACAACACCGTGCTCATCCCTTCGACTTGTATCGAACTCTTGGGCTATTACTATCACTACCAAAACAACTGTTAGAGACTAACGCTTAAGAAGGATTCTTCCGACTGTCACCCCTGAGGGCCTATATCCGACTACTTCCACTTGCCGACTCTTCCACACTCTTCATCAGGGATGGTTTACACTAGTGATGTGCCAAGTCGAATCAAGTGATTCGAATCATTCGAATCAAGCATTTAACGACTTGATTCGAATCAGATTCTACTTGATTCGAATCGACTCGCATCAAGCCGCGAAATATTTACTGTGATAAAACATGTATGAACACAAATTTTCATAAATATAAAAAAAATGTTTTAATTTAATTCAATATTATAATAATATAAATAACTAGCAAACCCGACGAACTCCGTTTCACCACCAGATGGTTTCGTGAAAAAGATTAAAAAATTCTTTGTTTGTTTTATATTTGAAAAGGAAAAATTTGATTTTATTATACAACAGCAATGAATTTATTTCGATTACAAAAATGAGGTGTTTTTTAGTTGAACTTCTCTAAGTAAATTAAAGTGAATCCGTAAATTATCCGTTTCATTGAAGTGCTCTTTGGTAAACCACATTTTTTGTTTTTTGGTCTGACGTTAACACAAACAAAGCGAATGGTTTTCCAACTTGTAAACAGGCAACGTATAACTGCCCATGTGAAAAACAATGATTTTCTAAATAATCTATTTGAAATTTATCCCGCAAACACTAAGCGATTGGCCTTGCGACTTGTTATTGCGAACGCAAGGCGAACTGAAAATTGCAATCGTTTGAAATCAAACGCAAGACCAGTCAGAATCATTGGTATGTCACCAAATCGCCAGCAATTTTTGATTGAATGGTGAAATTTAGTGCGTGTATATCAAGAATTGCTTGTTGACTTAACCAAGCATAATTCTGATAATTCTCACTAATGTCCTTACTCGAATTTTTAATTACGATGCGTGAAGTTCCAGCAATTTGCATTTCCGAGACCTTTCCAACGAATGCAAAATTGTGGAAATCGGTTCGTGCGTTCTGGAGTTATTTCGTCAGGAAGAAAAACCCGACTTATTTATATATATATATATATATATATATATAGAAGATAATATAAAAAATAATAATAATAAATATAAAAAATGAATCTTGAATTAAATCATGCGAGTCACACGGCTTTAATACGCTCAAATGTATCACCCGACTCCAATTTATATGACTTTAACCGCATTCATTGTCTAACAATATCATCCGACTTCATATGACACAAAGCGAATCATTCCGATTTCAAATCGATATGAATTCATCCGAGTTCATATGACTCAAACTGAATCATTCCGATTTCAAGCGGCCTGAACGATATGAGTTCGAAACATGTGTCTGTGTTTTAGTGTATCGACTTATCGAGATGCAGTGCGTATGGGTTTTGAGTGTTTGTTTATTAACTTCCCGTAGAGTAAGTTATTGTAATGGACCGAAATCGAAATTGAAAATTTTTACATTTCTCGACGTTTTGGAGGTTTCTGAACATTTTGGCATACCTCAGAAAAAATGGATGTGTGTGTATGTGTGTGTGTGTGTATGTGTGTGTGTATGCGTGTGTGTGTATGTATGTATGGATACAATTTTTCGTTCACGTTTTCGGGCGCACGGATCAACCGATTTGAATGGTTCAAAAAACACGATTCCTATTGATAGGGAGATGTGCTGATTAGTTTTTGGCAAAGGCAGGTCCAGCAGTTGCGAAGATAAAGAGCAAGGAGTGCAGAAAATAGAAATCGAGTTTTTGAGAGAACGGAGCATTCGATTTGAATGATCTAAAAAACATTCAATTAGTAATGATTGGAAAAAGTGGTTATTAGTTTTTGGAGTAGGCAGGCCTAGCCATTTCGGAGATACAGAGCTAAATAGACAAAAAATGGCAGTTTTTGTGAGAACTAAGCGTCTGATTTGTATGATTCAAAGAAGTTTCTGCTTGTTTTAACAAAACGATTGATTTTTTTAAAAAAAATTTTGTTCCAAATTTTTTTTTTCTTTTTTTTTTTTTTGTATATCGAAAATAATTCAGATTTTAATCGTAATTCTGGCAAAAGTTCTAATGTACTTGAAACAAATATGTTTAACTTTGCAATTCAGTTTATATAATTCTTATAAATATTAGGCAATGTTACAATATTTATAATGATCTATTTGAAAACATTCAATATTTCTCGAAAATTTTGTTACGGTACGGGAAGTTCCAGCAATTTGCCTTAAGGCACAATGCCATACACCTCACTAGTTTTTGACTAAGCGCTGAGAGCAAATTTGTTCATGAAATATCAAAAACTCATTTAGATAATAAATACGCGATTTAAATTTTAAATATTATCAAAATAAACTACACAACGAGTTTCATACACATACAAAATTCACACAAATGAAATAATATCAATCTTTACAGTAGTGGATTGAATTTTAAGTCATTCGTAAGACGTTAGATTCAGCCCCCTGTTTAGATTAGATCTAAACAATCAATAATGTAAACATGCATTCGTTCAGCATAAGATTAAGAATATTGTTTTATATGCTTTAGGGATAGAGAAGTATTTGGTTATATTTTACTGTAAATTCATTTGAAATATTAGTTATATTTGTAGATAGTTTATTATTATTATATATATATATATATATATATATATATATATATATAAATGTATTAATCTCTGCACTTTTTGGAATTAATTGCTTACTAAATTAATTAGTTCACTTATAAAATTATTAAAGTGATATTATTTCTTGTCTTAAATTATAATTGTTCATATATGAACTTGATTCCAATTGATTCGAATCAGGTTTTTTTCTGATTCGAATCACTCGAATCAGAAAATTTTCGAGTCGGCACATCACTAGTTTACACATATATTTGCAGATGGGGGGGTTTCGTAACAATATTTAATGTTAAAATATTTCATTATTTTTAACTTCCCGAGAGAGGAAGCAATCGTCGACTAAGGGTAAAAAATCGGCTCACATACTTTTTCCAAATTTGGTCTCATTCGATTTAGAATGACTTGCAACGTCGAGAATACATACAATTAGCAAATCGGATTTTTTCTCGAAAACCAACTTCTTATGCAAAAAGTTAATAATTTCAATGCGACTTATATTACAAATATTTTCATCAAGAGAATATTCGAGTTGATAAATATTATTAGGTTACTAATAAATAGTATACTATTATAGTAGATGTAGCTTCTGAAATTTATAGTGACATAAATTAGGGTAGTAGAAACATCCAATTAAACAGAAAAAACGAAAAAATATAAAATTTATTTTAGTTTATACGTTTCGAGACCACATGTGTTTCATCATTCAGCTAAAAGAATTTCACAACTATTTAATACAAAATTATCAATATAAGATACAGAAATCAAAAACAAAGGTCAACTAGTGTTGTATGACATTGTGCCTCAAGGCAAATTGCTGGAACTTCCCGCAGCGTAACGAAATGTTCGAGAAATATTAAATGTTTTCAAAAAGATTATTATAAATACTATAACATTATCTATTATTTATAAGAATTATATAAACTAAATTGCAAAGTTAAAATCATTTATTTAAAGTATATGAGTGAGCTTTAAAACTTTAGTCATAATTAAAATTAAAATCTGAATTATTTTCGATATACAAAAAAAAAATCCAAAAGCAATTAGTTTGTTGAAACAAGCAAAGTTTTTTGAGTCATTCAAATCTGATGTTAGTTCTCTTAAAAACTACCATTTTTTCCACATTTAGCTCAGTATATCCGAAATGGCTCAACCTGCATTTGCCAAAAACTAATCACCGCTTCCCCCCGTCATAACAAATTGAATGTTTTTTAGATCTTTCATATTGGATATTCCATTATCTCAAAAATTCAATTTCTATTTTCTGCACTCTTTGCTCCGTATCTCCGTAACGGCTGGAACTGCCTTGGCCAAAAACTAATTAGCACATCTCCCTATCAATAGGAATCGAATGCATTTTGAACCGTTCAAATCGGTTGATCCGTGTTCTCGAAATCGTCGACGAAAATTTGTATCCGCACACACACACATCAATTTTTTCTGAGTTATGCCAAAATGTTCAGAAACCCTGAAACGTGAAAATATGCAAAAATTTTCATTTTTGATTTTTGGCCCATTACTATAACTTACCCTACGGGAAGTTAATAAAAAAAATGATGGGCTAGGGAGTTGTAAGATTTTGCATATTGATTTTCAATTGCTTCTTGCATTATTTATTTCTCAATTTTTACCTCAGATTTTAAAAATTGCTGTAGAGGTAATTCTTCGTTTTCCGGACATTCTTCTGATATATCATAATCTTCAAATTCTTGTTTAACTTGAGGATATTCAATAGGTTCTATTTTAATTGTTGGGTTTGAGTTTGCTCCTTCAGACATTTTGTTGGTTCTTGCACACAAACTGGAAGGTTTAAAATTTCGATATATATATATATATATATATATATATATATATATATATATATATATATGATTAATTTCTTGGAGGGCGTAATATCAAGTAAAAAAAAATAAGGTAAAAATTTTTTAAAACATCTTTATTTTTCCATAGGTTTCGACGTAAATTCTACGTCATCATCAGTGGTTTTGAATTTCTTAGATTATCACTTTCACATATTAATACAGCTTGTAAAAAACTAATAATTGAAAACAAGCACCAAATGTCAGTAATTTCCTTTTTATAAGGAATAAGAAATAAAAAGTAATTAATAATTAAAATATTATACATAAATATTCGTGTATCCGAGGCTCAAAGCCAAACAATAATCTTCAAAACCACTGATGATGACGTAGAATTTTACGTCGAAACGTATGGAAAAACAAAGATGTTTTAAAAAAATCTTTACACTTGATGTTACGCCCTTCAAGAAATGAATCATACATTTCAACATCAAATTTAAACACTGTCAACATATATATATATATATATATATATATATATATATATATATATATACAGTAGAATCCGCTTAGTACGACGTCGAAGGGACGCCGAAATCTCGTCATACTAACCGGTCGTCATTAAAAGCGTACTGAAGAAAAACTTTTTAATATGCAATTTGTTACATGTTTCAGTAATTTAAAAGAAAAGCCTATACAAACGTTTTAATTAAAAATAAAAATGACACATTAAAATTTAATATAAAATAAAATTGACATAGGGTAGGGCGGGGCACAACGGTCCAATTTGACTTACGGTAATTATACTGTCTAAACCCAATGAACAACACATAACATACATAAAAGAAGCATCTATCGAACTATGTTCAGAAAAACTTACATACATACGTACATAATTCCTAATTATATAAATATTATATTTTTTATTATTTTTTAAACATTTGGTATCTGACCCATTTACACATACGGGGTAAAGTGGAACAACCAGGGGGCGAACAGATCTATTAAATTTAAAAGGCATTTTACGCTACATTATTGAACCAACGCAAAATATTAATTCTGTGGGTACATTTGTTAAAAAGACAACACAGTACATTACATTGATCTGCTATTAGTCAGAAATATTCATCAGAAGAGCCGGAATAACAATTTATTCAATTAATCTCTTGTAAAATTGCTTTTTTTTAAACTTTACTATTTTATTGCTTACACGCTTAAACCTTTGCCAAAGTAAAGGTTCAGCTGGTCCTTTTTATCGCAGTCATGTGCTGCTTATCTTCTGATAGCAAAGTCATAAGAATAAAGGTGATGGCTGGTTATGAATTTATACATTTTTCGCCCTCTACTATCAAATATAATCGTTAAAAAAAATCTAATTTTATTTGTTTATGAGATATCCGTGGTGGGCCATTAATAATTAGTCTACCCTACCCATAAACATACAAATGTGATTTTTTAAAGTAAGTAATCAGTAATTTTTGATTGATTTCTTTACATAATTTTATTGTAAAAACAGTCCCTGGTGCTATTGTGCACAAAAGACATACCAATTGCTTTCGTAGACTTGGCCACATCATGTAAAATCTTGTCGGTCATTATAATTGGACATATTTTTTTGCAAAAATGGGTCATTATAAGCGACATGTCAATGTAAGCGATGTCAATATATCCAACTAGACAGCTGTTTTTTTAAGGAATTTTAAATGGAAACCAAATTCCTAGTGCGAGTACATCATATTAAGCGGTTGTCAATATATCCGGCGTCATACTAATCGGATTCTACTGTATATATATATATATATATATATATATATATATATCAATCAATGTTTTATTATTAACTAGCTGACCTGGCAAACATTGTTTTACCATGTAATATTTTGCTAGATTTTTTTGAATAAGTCGAAAACTTACTAATACATTGTAAGAATGTGGTTTATGAGCGGTAAAAACAAATAAGATAATACAAAAACAATAAAGGCGCCATTCCAGGTGTAAGCTTTTAAAGTGAAGATATAAAAAAATTTAAAATTAACATTACATTTTATAAAACGATTAAATAACGTTTACTTAAAATATATGCACCTTAATACACCACAATGATGGCAAAGTATGTCCATTTCCCCAATGCAAACGCTAGGATGCAAACTGCAATCATTTCTGCAATCGTATTGAAAGGCTGCTCGATTCAAATCAGCACTTGATAAATACCTTGTTCTGTGTTGCAAATTATCAACTTGTTGACCTCTGTGTCTCTTGTTCGTTCGACGATTCTGCATTGTCAACTGAGCTGCTTCACGGGCTTCTTCTCTTTGCTCTAGTGATTGAGAAGCACGAAGTCGAGCCATACGATCCCGGTTCTGTTTACGTTTAATTTCTTTTTCTTCTTCAGTCCTTTTATTTGCAATTCTTCGCATTCTTCTTGCATTACGACTTTGTCGGGAAAGATTCGATCGTCTTGGTCGCGGCATTTTTAATTCAACTGCACTTCACCTAAAAACACAAATTTTCAGTTTTATAGTTCACTTCACTGTTAATACGAATGGATAATGGCTCTATCATTACATTATAATTGTTAATTTTTTATTTAATAGAAATAGTTTTATTATTGATTACTTACAAAACTTACAAATATCAAATTGTCATCCATACATCATTACAAAGCTGTCATTATAATCAATTACATAGCTGTCATTTGCGTTGCGTTATTCCAAGCCGAACGGAATGAAAAGTATCCAATGTCCTTTTCTTGCCTCTAAACTACCTTCCTGCCAATTTTCAGCTAAATCAGTTCAGCCGTTCTTGAGTTATAAGTGGAGTATTATCACGACTTTCTTTTATATATATATATATATATATATATATATATATATATATATTAATATGTTTTGTTCAAATACAATATAATACTAACGCTAACATTTGTTGTTATTTTATTTTCGCATATAAAACACAATTTCATAAAACACTTCGACATTTCTATTTAATTCTAACCTCGAAGTTTTATGGGATCAGGTTGGACAACATTGAAACATTTCAACGGTGAATTTATCGGCGGCAACGTATTGACAAAACAATTGCTTTTGAGGATAAAAAATTATTACATCTTTTTTATTTTCCATAAAATATTTTTGTAATTTTGGATTAAAAATTCAAAAAATTACCCATGATAAGCACAGTCTAAGCGCCACTCTGGAACAAATGTTTACCCAAGTGCGTTCAGACTGTTTATGTACTGGAACACTTTTCCAAATTTGTAAAAACTATTGAAAAATGCCAAGCTAAGCACAGTATAAGTGAAAATGTCGCACAGAATTATTTGCAAATGCGTTTAGACGGGAGCACTTTTTCAATTAGGCAACTATTTTTTTGAAATTGAATTCGAAATGAAATGACGATTGTTAACGTTCTGGAGATAAATTGATTTATGATTTACATTTGATTTGCTCAGATATAACAATATAGCAAAAATAATGAAAGTTATAATATTTGTAATAAAAAATTTGAAAACGTTTAAAATTTCTCGAATATTTTATTACGGTACGGGAAGTTCAAGCAATTTGACTTGATAATTATAAAAAAAAACCTTTGCGAGAAACTGGTGTCATAATAGGTGACTGTTTTAATCCGCACTTGACAATCTTTGGGGTACTACAAAAATTTTTGTTTGCAGCATAGATAAGTAAACATATGATTTGCAGTTTGTATGTTCTAATAAATTAAGAGCTGTAGTTTTTAAATGGTGCCCATTTTGAAATGCTTATTTATCAATGATTGCGACTATCCATGACACTATGATCATAGCCAGTAATCTCCGAACAAATGTAGATGACCGTGTTGTGAAATGGATTGGTATTCGAATTGATCGACGGATGGCGCTACGATTTCCAATTTCATTGATCTAGCTTGATCTACATTGATTTGATTGCCATTTTCTATAAGTTGTCATCGCGTATTGTAGTTGAGATGTGTTATATTTGTTTTTCTGTGATTGTTTATATATGATTATGTTTTGGTGAATACTTTTTTCATTTATTATTAAGTTAAAATGATAAAGTGTAATGTGCCAAAATGTTATAACTCTAAATATAATAAAACAATGCATATCTTTCCGGCATCTAATTATCAGGTATGCATGGGGAGTTATCTCCGAACAAATGTATATTATCCTGTTTTGGAAAGGACTACTATTTTTAGCGAAAAAAAGATGTCGCTACTAGTTTCAAAATATGAAAAAAACGTCAAAATTACTCGCTTAGATTTGCCATTCGCCATTTTGTATCAAAGTTTGTGGTTCGATGTTGTTTCTGTAATTAAATATGTATTCAAGTAAGCATTTATATGAAATTGAATATGGCAAAATGTAACGCACCAACTTGTGGTAACTTCAGAAATAATATAAAAATGCACTTCTCTCCGGCTTTATGAAATGAACAATTTAGAAATGTCCAATTATATTTCACAGAATAGTTCTCATGTCTATAGTTCACAGTGATATAAGAAGAGAAAGACAATCTGATATATGACCAGGAGAACACTCTGCAACTCTAGTGGAAAAAGTAATAATAATTCTGAATATTTTAATACCATTTGCTATTATGACTTGATATTATATTACAACATGTTATGTTTATTAGATGTTCTTGGGAATACAAATTGCAGCAGAATCTAGTGACTGAGGATAGGAGTGTCTTGATGCCGAGGGCATATAATGTATGACACATCCATTATATGTTGAGGGAGCTAAGAAGGATAGACAAACAATACAATAATTTAAGGTATAAATTGCAACAGAGTATAAAATGCTCAGAAATATTCTTAACATTCCATCCGAAAGGACTGCTGCACTGTTCTATTGACACAATCGAATCATAAGAAATTCAAGATTTTGTAGAATGCAACTTTATTAATGATTGATTAATAAGCAAAATAACTATTAAATGCAAAGTTAATGTTAAAGAAAAATGACTCATAAATTAATTTTAATTCTTGGAATTTAGTTTTCTATCAATTTTGATATCAATATTTATATTTTATGTCTGTAGGATTTAACTTTTTAAATTTGTTCATTATTTGTCATTTCTTCTAATTATACTATTCCATTATCTATAGTATATACTCTATATACTACTATACTTATACTACTTAGACTCTATACTTTTCTCTGCTCTTTTTAATATATTATTTTTAGTCATTGAGATATTAATATTAGTCAGTTCGTGTAAATTAATTATACTTATGAAAACTTTTACAATATTTCTGTGTAGTTGTTATATATTCTGATCATTCAGTAATTCATATTGATCGTTCCTTTTAAGTTTAACATTTTATTGTAAATGCTTCTACATAATCTGTCTAGTTGTTATATATTATTGATCATTAAGTAATTCATATTGATTGTTCTTTTTAAGTTTAACATTTTATTGTAGATGCTTCTACACAATCTCTGTCTAGGTGTTATATATTATTGATCATTAAGTAATTCATATTGACCGTTCCTTTTAAGTTTATCGTGATCGTTCCTTGTAAATTTATCATACCATTGTGAATACATTTTTTAGTTACTTATAATTGTAAAATTATAATACTTATTATTATGTATATATTGATTATTACATTTATAAAAATTTTAATTGTTATGTTAAAATGTTTGTGATATATTTGAAAATATATTTTGTACTTCGTATGTTTTTTTTTTCATTTCCAATATAAGAAATTATTTAGGTTTTCTTACTTTGAATTACGTATGCAAACCATATCTAGGAATAATACCAGCGGTTGATTTATATACTGAACAAGTGCTGCCTCCTTCAGATCGCTAAAAATATTAAAATGGAGGTAATGTCAAATGGCCCGAGATAGCGATCTATTTATGTTTACTTATCTATGCAGGTATGTATATAATGATGTATTATCATAGACCTTATACAATACAAATTGAAATTGTATAAGGTCTATGTGTATTATGCATAGAATAAATATGTATCATAAAAATAATATTAAAATGTTATATAGATATATATATATATATATATATATATATATATTTGTGTAAATATATATTATATATATTGATATGTAACGAACCTTATTTTATAAAAACTTAAAATTATGTAAAGGTTTCATATCCCTGCCCATTGCAGCAGGTTGTGTAACCCTGACATGTACCGTTAAGGACCGAGTATAAAACCGGTGCAATGGGCCTAGTCGAGGTCATTCAGTACAGTCGCCAACTGGAGTTATTGTACATATTATTCAATAAAGAAAATATTAAGTAGAAAGTGTATTATCAATACCAAGGAAAAGAACCAAAGGTATCCGAAGGAAAGTGTGTTGTCTATACTATATATATATATATATATATATATATATATATATAACTATATATATAAACACCCAAGGTATCAAATCCAATTCAATATATTTGTGTGTAAAAAGATGCTTTCAATTTGGATGCAGAGGGCGAATAATCATTTAATGTATGACCTAACTCTCTGATTTGTGGCACAAATCGAAGATAATTTGAATTTGGAACCAATTAGAAGTGTCTCCTTTACGGCAATAACAGAATAGTTTTCAAGTCACTAGAGAATGCTTTGATACAGAACCAGAAGAACAATCTGCAACTCCAAGGACAAGGCCAAGTAATTATAACTCTAAATACTTCAATACAATTTGCAAAAAAATATTAATAAACGAATCTTATGTTCTTAGTTAGGAGATGAAAGCCTAAAAAAGATTTTTGCAGCACCCCTAAGATTGTCAAGTGCATGTTAAAATCACCTATACTGACACCAGTTTTCCGCAAAGGTATTTTTTCATAATAATTGCAGCAAAAATAATTAATTAATCAAATATAATATAACGATATATTCAATAGAAGTCCTTGGTGGTAGCTGCAAATTGCCGCAGAATGCAGTGATAAGGCGTAGGAGTGCCTTAACACCCAGAAAATGTATGATACATCAAATTTTGTATCGGGATTAAAAAGGATTAACAAACAATGCTATAATTTAAAGGATAAATTCCAACAGAGTATACAATGGTCTGAGAAGTTTTCAAATATTCTAAAAACGTAAAAAGTAAAGGCAAGAATTTTGATATTGTCTCAATTAAGAGAGCATACTCAAAGACCACGTAGTTTAGGGTTTAGTTATAGTTTTAACTTAGCCTCCTTGCAATAAAAACTGGATTAAAACGATAGGTAGGTTTGAGATACAATTGGTATAAATTGAAAGTAGTTCAGGGTTTTGGTTACTTACGATTTATTCAAATGTAACTTTATTAATGATAACTATTAAATGGAGAGATAATAAAGAAGAATGTCTCGTAAATGAATTTCAATCCTAGGAATTTAGTTTTATCTCAATTTGGATATCGATAAATATATTTTTTGTTTTTAGGATTATTTTGTTTGAGAAGTATTCATTCTTTTTTTAAAAATTTGCTGTTCTTTTTATCCTTTTAAATTTTTGCATTACTTGTCATTCCTTCTAATTTGTCATTCCATCGCCAATACTCCTGCGCTTTTCACTTCTTAGTTTTTAAGTTTTTAATATATTATTATTAGTCATTAAGTAATTAATATTAATAAGTTATTTCTCTTTAATTTGTAGTACTTTAAAAATATGTCTGTAATATACTTTAATTAATAGTAATCAGTCATTTCTGTTTAGTTTATAATTCTTCAAAAATATGTCTGTGATATATTTGAAAATATATTTTGTATTTCGTATGTTTTGTTCTTACTTCAAATATTAAATTTTTTTCAGATTTTGGGCTGTATTGATTATATGTACAAATGTAGAAGTAATACCAGGGGTTAATGTACATACTGTACATGTGCTGCCATATTGTGATCAATTCGTAAATTAAAATGGGTGTAATGTCAAATGGCCCTAGATAGCGATCTATTTATGCTTATTTATCTATGACCATGAAATCCATGATAAATGAAACGTTTGAGTGTTGTCACACCTGATCTCAATCTTATGCGAAGTGAGACTCAAATCAAATGTCAAAGTCAAAACGAATTAACAGATATGTGTATATTAAAACATATTTATCATTAATGCAAAGCATATAAATTGAAAGCTTTGTTAATTTTTTATAAATTACTGTTGGTTTGTTTATGAAAAACTACTAGCGCCGAAAATGTCCGAAGAAACAATTTCAAACCCAATAATTAAAACTGAACCAAAGGAATATTCTCCAGTTAAACAAGCACTTGATGATTATGACATTACTCCAGAAACATTTTTAGAGAATGAGGTAATATATTTACAGCAATTTTTAGAATTTGAGATGAAAATAAACAAAAAAATAAAACAAGAAACAATTGATAATCAAGATAAAACAAGTTTCGACGAGGGATCTTATATGGAAAACGTAGAAATTTTAAATTCAGAAGTCACTATAGGTGAATTAATCAAGAAAGAAACAATTGATGATCCAGATAAAGCTCGTTTTGATGAGTATTCTTATATGGAAAACGATGAAATATGTCTACAGCAATTTTTAAAATCTGAAGTAACAATTGACGAAGAAGTTAAGCATGAACCAATCGATGAGCACCTTGCAGACACTTGTAAGAACAAAAGTATTTACAATGTCGGTGAGTTAAGTGATTTAGTAGATAATACAAGTGAATGCAATGAGTCATTTAAAAAAGTTTTCAAAAAATGTAAAGCTACCCTAAACTTGAAACAACCCTTGAAATGTAAAATTTGCAATAAAAATTTCTCAAGAATTAGCACCTTACGTCGTCATAAAATGATTCATACGGGAGAACGCCCTTACAAATGTGAAACATGTAATAAAGCATTTAGAACAAATGATTATTTAAGTCAACATAAAAAATTTCATGTGGGAGAACGTCCCTACAAATGTGAAATATGTAACAAAGCATATACAACAAATGGTAATTTAAGTCAACATAAAAAGATTCATACGGAAGAACGTCATTACAAATGCGAAATATGTAATAAAGCATTTATAACAAACCATGAATTAATTCAACATAAAAGGATTCATACAGGAGAACGTCCTTACAAATGCAAAATATGTAATAAAGCATTCATAGCAAAAAAAAAATTAAACCGACATTCAATTATTCATACTGAAGAACGACCACATAAATGCTTAATATGCAGTAAAGCATTTATAACACAAAGCAAATTGAAACAACATTATTTTGTCCATACTAAAGAAAGTAAACATAAATGTGCAGTATGTAAAAAAACATTTGCAACCAAACAAAATTTAAGTCAGCATGAAATGATCCACGCTGCTGAGCGTCCTCATAAGTGTTCATTATGCAATAAATCATTCATAAGAAAAGTAATATTAAACCAACATCTAATGATCCATACAGGAGAACGACCACATAAATGCAGGATATGCCATAAAGCATTCAGTTTAAAACAAAATTTAAAACGACATGAATTTATCCACACGAGAGAAAGCAATCATTGAAGAGCCACATGCAATAAAACATTCGCAGCTTCGCAATCATTAAACCAACATAAAATTGTTCATACTGTAGAACATCCTTATAAAAGTGAAATATGTAATAAAACATTAAAATCTAAACATGGATTAAAATGCCATTCAAAACAAAACAATCATGAGAACTGATAAAAGTATACCGATAAAATAGTTTGGCAAATGAATTTATAATAGAGGATTAAATTTTCATAATTTTAAACACAGTAAGACATTGTAATTATAAATAGCAGACGTTCTCATTAGTGTAGAACACTTTGGTAAATATTGTTCATAAAATATCTTTGAAAATATTTGTGGTGACTAATAAAATATAATATTTACTTCATTGCTCAAATATTGTATTATTTATTTTTATTTAAATCAAATTGTCTTTTATTTAATTATGTACATATGTATATGAATAACATAAAAATGAAAACTTGTTATAAATAATATTTGTTATTATTGGTCACTTATTAACTACGCATAGAGTAGGTTATGGTAATCATCCAAAAACGAAAATCAAAATTATTATTTTAAAATACCTTAAAATAAATGGATGTATAAATATGAAACGGTTTTTCATTTTCGATTTACTTGCAATTACTATAACTTACCCTGCGGGAAGTTAAAAATATTGTTACGGATTCTTTTATTTATAACTCTTTGTTATGATTCACTTTATTGCTAGTTGCGGATTATTCCAATTCATTCAATTATTTGATCATTTGTTACTTAAATATTACTTTTATCTTCTATCCCGCACTGCTGAAAGACTAAATGTTAGAGCTACTACGAATGAGAGGCATTTGTTCGTGACTTAACTAAACAATATTTTATATTCACATATTTACATACTTATACTAATCTCAATCTGAACTATACAACTTGAATCTAGACTTATCTGTAACCACCATTGTCTATCGTTTCCCAATTCACATCACACACTAGTCACATTTTAATTAATAGTTTACTTTCAGTTTGGGGACAGTTTTCGATGCGCTGTCCCTCATAACATTCCTTTAGCTTACATTATCACAACATCAATTATAATACACTTCGTGCACTACACCGCGCTAATCCTTTCGACTCATATCGAACTCATGTTCTTAGGCTATTACTACCACTACTAATGCTTAAGAAGGATTCTTCCGACTGTCCCCCCTAGGGCCTATATCTCTACTTCCACTTGCGGACTCTGCCACACTCTTTATCAGGGATGGTTTACACATATATGAAGAGTGCTGGCTTTATGAAATTTACGTATGTGTATGGGTTATTAATTTCTCGAGAGAGGTTTTGTTTTCAAAAAATCATTTATAACTTTAATATTAATTACAAAGAAACAACTTGGCCGATCATGGCACAAAACTGACCGACTCTAGTACTTTTAAAGTTACATCGAAAGGCTTCTCAATTTTTCAAATCGGTCCAGACGTTTTTAAGCAAACGTCGAATAAGAGTCAAATATCGGTTCACATACTTTTTCCAAATTTGGTCTCATTCGATTTAGAATGACTTGCAACGTCGAGAATACATACAATTAGCAAATCGGATTTTTTCTCGAAAACCAACTTCATATGCAAAAAGTTAATAATTTCAATGCGACTTATATTACAAATATTTTCATCAAGAGAATATTCAAGTTGATAAATATTATTAGGTTACTAATAAATAGTATACTATTATAGTAGATGTAGCTTCTGAAATTTATAGTGACATAAATTGGGGTAGTAGAAAATCCAATTAAACAGAAAAAAAACAAAAAAATATAAAATTTATTTTAGTTTATACGTTTCGAGACCACATGTGTTTCATCATTCAGCTAAAAGAATTTCACAACTATTTAATACAAAAGAGTTGATAAATATTATTAGGTTACTAATAAATAGTATACTATTATAGTAGATGTAGCTTCTGGTATACTATTATAGTAGATGTGGGGTAGTAGAAACATCAAATTAAACAGAAAAAAACAAAAAAATATAAAATTTTATTTTAGTTTATACGTTTCGAGACCACATGTGTTTCATCATTCAGCTAAAAGAATTTCACAACTATTTAATACAAAATTATCAATATAAGATACAGAAATAAAAAACAAAGGACAACTAGTGCTGTATGGCATCGTGTCTCAAGGCAAATTGCTGGAACTTCCCGCAGCGTAACGAAATGTTCAGAAATATTAAATGTTTTCAAAAAGATTATTATATATAAATACTATAACATTAATTATCTATTATTTATAACAATTATATAAACTGAATTGCAAAGTTAAAATCATTTATTTAAAGTATATGAGTGAGCTTTAAAACTTTAGTCAGAATTAAAATTAAAATCTGAATTATTTTCGATATACAAAAAAAATCCAAAAGCAATTAGTTTGTTGAAACAAGCAAAGTTTTTTGAGTCATTCAAATCTGATGTTAGTTCTCAAAAACTACCATTTTTTCCACATTTAGCTCAGTATATCCGAAATGGCTCAACCTGCATTTGCCAAAAACTAATCACCGCTTCCCCCGTCATAACAAAATGAATGTTTTTTGGATCTTTCATATTAGATATTCCATTATCTCAAAAATTCAATTTCTATTTTCTGCACTCTTTGCTCCGTATCTCCGTAACGGCTGGAACTGCCTTGGCCAAAAACTAATTAGCACATCTCCCTATCAATAGGAATCGAATGCATTTTGAACCATTGAAATCGGTTGATCCGTGTTCTCGAAATCGTCCACGAAAATTTGTATCCGCACGCTCACACATCAATTTTTCTAAGGTATGCCAAAATGTTCAGAACCCCTGAAACGTGAAAATATGCAAAAATTTTCATTTTCGATTTTTGGCCTATTACTATAACTTACCCTACGGGAAGTTAATAAAAAAATGATGGGCTAGGGAGTTGTAAGATTTTTCATCTTGATTTTCAATTGCTTTTTGCTTTATTTCTTTCTCAATCTTTACCTCAGATTTTAAAAACTTCCATTCCAAGTGTTAATAAAAAATAAAATAAATGAATCTATCAAAAATAGTTTTAAATTATGCTTTTGGCAAAGGAGATTAAAATTATAAAATACATGGTTTTCTAATAATATTTGAAACTTGATCTTTAGTTTATTATCAACACATAAATATTTAATGAAATGATCTAGTACTTGACTGCATTAATAAATAGACCAAAAAATACATTTCTTGGGACCAAAAGCGAATGGCAGTGTAATCTCTAGATGCAATCCCAGAAGCTTCATCCCTGCCAATTGGATCTGCTAATAATAGTTCACATGCACAAACATGGCATTCACCAACATATCCGAGAAGTTTCTTAGTACAATATCTTGAAACATAAGCGTTAGCAGTTTTCTGTACAATGACATGTCTTGGAAATGAAACGGCTCTCTGCATCAATAGACATATTGATCAAAGGGTCAGTTTCCAAAACATCTTCATTATTCAAAACCACTCGAAATGTGGCAAGTAACCCAGTTGTATCATCGATTTCACAATTAGAAGACGGTGAATGGTGAGATGATAAATTGTTGACTAGCAAAGTCCTAAAGGCAGACACAAAGGAGTGACTACTTGGATTAGTATTTGAACCCCCATGACTTCTTATGCAACCAAAAAAATTCTCCAACAAATCTTGGTTAAAATTTCTGGTTCAAGTAACTAAAAACCCTGAACTACTTTGATTCTCTGCCAAATGTAGCTCAGACCCTCTATCGTTTTAATGCAAGGAGATTTAGTTAAAACTGTAACTAAGCCCTTATTGCTTTTTATGAACTGCATTGAATTCAAAAGCCGAAGTGTGAGCCGAAGTGCGAGCCGATTTAATTGAAATTGCACATCGAAATTATTTACCATTAAATGGCAATTTTGATAAACCATTGACACTATCAAATAAGTAGTCCATGAACATCAATAATTCTCCGGTACCATATGAGGTAACACTTCCAGCTACTACATGGTAACCAGAGTTTTGAAGTCCATGTGCTACCCGTTGAGAAAATACTTGCGCAGCAAGACTGACCTTCATACGTTTCATTTTTGTTTGATCAAGGTGGTGTTCGGTTAGGACAACGACGAAACATACTTGAAGTAAAATCATAATTGTAATAATCTATGATCTTTCCAAAATGCTTCATATTCGTCCCCATCTAATCCTATCAATTTAACATTGTACTTAGCAAAACAATTCCGCATACACTTTAACTTAAGTATGGAGGATCCTATAAAGGTACAATCTCATGGCCATATATTTCAAAAAACAGCTTATTCCAGTAAAGGTTTTTTGTTTTATAATACTCTTCTGTATCATTTAAAAACACATTAACTGCTTTACAATTTGCCGCATATTGGTCGCATATAAAAACCAATGCAAAAGCAAGATAAGATGCCGAAACTGTTCAGAAAAAAACTCTCATGAAAATTGCCATATCGTATCAGACTTTTATATGTGCAGTATGCCATGAAACCATCAAGCAAATGACAAAGAATGCAAATTCTTTAAAGTAATAAAGAAATAAAAGAAATGTCGGCACTACATAATATATCTTATCTTGAAGCTAAAAGCATGATGTGGGAAAGAGCATATGCTGAGGCAGCTAAGATCAACCCGTATAATCCGGGTTGCAAACTGCGGCAACAACCTTTAAACCAATACTAAATAACTTGCCACATCAACAATAAGAGATTTTAAATCAGACCTATTTACTCCACCTTCGGAAAAGTAGAAATCAACTGGTTGCTTCCAACTATCCTTTATTCCTTTTATCATGAAAACAAATGCATGATCTGCAAATAAAACTTTTTCTGCCATTCGCTAGTTCCACAAACCAACAATCCTTTTTACGATCATATGACAATTTTGAAGAAGTGATATTTCATCAAACATCAAAACACAGTATTTGCTACTCTCATACTTTTTATGAGAAATAGCTGAACCTATATATTAAAAAGACACTCATTAATACCGCTATACAAAGGTATCTCTGAAAGCAACTTCCTCAATGTTTGAAGAGATGCCAAAATAAATATTTGTCTCCAAAAATGATAAGCCTTTGGAGACTTTTCATTTAAATTTTCAGATTTAAAGCAAGAATTTTGTCTTTGTCTGTAAATTTTCTTCCTTTCGGATTTTTAGTATGCTCTCTTAATGGAGACAATATAAAATTACTTGCCCTAATATTAAATATTTCTGGAATATTTGAAAACATTTCAGAACATTGTATACTCTGTTGCAATTTATCCCTTAAATGGTTGCATTGTTTATTAATCCTTCTTACCTCTTGGAACAAAATTTTTGATGTATCATACATCTTACATCTTCTGGGTGTCAAGGCATTCCTACGCTTAATCACTGCATTCTGCAGCAATTTGCAGCTACCCCCGAGGTCTTCTATTATTAACATAATAGAATGGTATAATATCATAGTTGATGAATTAATTATTAACTTCCTGTGGGGTAGTTAAAGTAATGAGCCGAAAATCGAAAATGAAAATTTTTGCATTTCTCGACGTTTTGAAGGTTTCTTTTGGTTGTGCGTGCGTGTGGTGTTTTGTATGTCCGCATTTTTTCGTTCACGTTTTCGGGCGCACGGATCAACCGATTTGAATGGTTTAAAAAACATTCAATCCCTATTGATAGGGAGATGTGCTGATTAGTTTTCCGCAAAGACAGGTCCTGCCTATCGAAGATACAGAGCTAAATGTGAAAAAAATGGCAGTTTTTGAGTGAACTAAGCGTCCGATTTGAATGATCTAAAAAACTTTCTGCTTGTATAGACAAAACAATTGCTTTTGAGGATAAAAAAATATTACTTTTTTTTATTTTCCATTGAATATTTTTGTAATTTTGGATTAAAAATTCAAAAAATTACCCAGGCTAAGCGCCACTCTAGTACAAATGTTTATCCAAGTGCGTTCAGAACTTCAGACTGTTTATGAACTGGAACACTTTTCCAAATTTGTGAAAACTATTGAAAAAATGTGAAAATGCCGCCAAGCTAAGCACAGTATAGTAAAATGTCGCACAGAATTATTTGCAAATGCGTTTAGACTATGACTATACGGGAGCACTTTTTCAATTTTGTGTAAATTAGGCAACTATTTTTTTTGAAATTGAATTCGAAAAAAATGACGATTGTTAATGTTCTGGACATAAATTGATTTATGATTTACATTTGATTTGCTCAGATATAACAAGATAGCAAAAATAATGGGAGTTACAATATTTGTAATAATAAATTTGAAAACGTTTAAAATTTCTCGAATAATTCATTACAGTACGGGAAGTTCCAGCAATTTGCCTTAAGACACGATGCCATACACCACTAGTTATTGCTGCAATTATTATAAAAAAATATCTTTGCGGGAAACTGGTGTCATAATAGGTGACTGTTTCAACCCGCACTTGACAATCTTTGGGGTACTGCAAAAATTTTTGTTTGCAGCATAGATAGTAAACACATGGTTTGCAGTTTGTATGTAAAACGTTCTAATAAATTAAACGCTGTAGTTTTTGAATGGTGCCCATTTTGAAATGCTTATTCAATTAATATAGCGACTATCCATAATACCATGCTATCCATAGATAAAAGAAGAGTATACTAATATAGACGTTTCTCTCTCGCGGTATTTGCGTTCAGAGAGCTAGGGAGAGTCACGAACGCAATGGGTGATGGCACTTTAATCGCATGTCGCTCGGCAGCCTCGTGCTCCTAAATGCATTCAAATTAAAGCGCCAAGATTAGAAATAAAAGAAAATCGTCTTTTACAAATTGCAGCAGAAGGATAGACAAACAATGCAATAATTTAAGGTATAAATTGCAACAGAGTATAAAATGCTCAGAAATATTCTTAACATTTCGGATGGAATGTTAAGAATATTTCTGAGCATTTTATACTCTGTTGCAATTTATACCTTAAATTATTGCATTGTTTGTCTATCCTTCTTGGTACAAAAGTTAAACAAACACGTTGAACAGTAGTAGAATATCTTTATTTAATATATAATTAAAAATCACTCAAAATACACGATGTTGTAGGTTAGGTTGTTTGTATAGAAGAGAACATATATTTTGTACAAAGCATAGTCGAAACCTATGCGCAAGATGGACGCTTTGCCCGGTAGTGGGAGAAACCATACAAATAGTAGCGCGAAATTCAAATTAAAAACATATTTATCCACTTCTTAACTCCCTCAACATATAATGGGTGTGTCATACATTTTACATGCCCTCGGCATCAAGACACTCCTATCCTCAGTCACTAGATTCTGCTGCAATTTGTATTCCCAAGAACATCTAATAAACATAACATGTTGTAATATAATATCAAGTCGTAATAGCAAATGGTATTAAATTATTCAGAATTATTATTACCTTTTCCACTGGAGTTCCGGAGTATTCTCCTGGTCATATATCAGATTGTCTTTCTCTTCTTATATCACTGTGAACTATAGACATGAGAACTATTCTGTGAAATATAATTGGACATTTCTAATTTGTTCACTTCATAAAGCCGGAAAGAAGTGCATTTTTATATTATTTCTGAAGATACCACAAGTTGGTGCGTTACATTTTGCCATATTAAATTTCACATAAACGCTTACTTGAATACAATTAATTACAGAAACAACATCGAACCACAAACTTTGATACAAAATGGCAAATGACAAATCTAAGCGAGTAATTTTGACGTGTATCATATTTTGAAACTAGTAGCGACATCTTTTTTTCGCTACAAATAGTAGTCCTTTCCAAAACAGGGTAATATACATTTGTTCGGAGATAACTCCCCATGATAATACATATATTAAAATAGATATCAAAGTAAATAGCAATATATTGCAACAAACATATTTATTTAAATAAATCAAGAAAAATATAAAGTTTAACAAATTACAGGATTCCTGCCTTCAAGTGGATAATCATTCATTATTCACTACCAATAATGACGTGAACACAAAACATGGTGTGTAAATTATAGTGTCAGTAAGTAAGATTTGCCACTTTTCAGCACATTCTTTGCGATAAATCCAGTCATGCTAAATGGCTCTTGACATTATCTTGAATATTCAAAAAACTGCTGCATTAAATTAACTTATTTTGTCAACTTGCACTGAAATTGGATTTCGTTCATTAACTCAGTGGCGTTCTTAAACAATGTAAAATCTAGTCTATTTATGCTTTTCCATATATATTTAAGAGCCTCCAAATTTTATACAATTCTGAAAAGTTAGAGGAGCCTTGCCTTTCTTATAAAAGAGCCGTAGCTTGCTCCTAAAATGTATTGTGATTAAAATTTTATTATATACACAGCTTTAGCAACTGCTTTATATCCTCTTCATTTAAGAGTTATAGATCTGATTGAATCACAAATAAAACCTTATAAACAATTATAAAACACTTGTAAACACAACATTCACAATAAGAATCAAAACACCTGGATGTCTCATATACGATAACCTATATGAAAGTTTTTCATGTTTTGACATTTCTTGTATATATTGCTCGTGGATTACTTACCTGTCAAACATGACATCGGCTCACTAGGCCAAATTTGCACCTTGCGTTCGTGACTGGAACTAAGCGTTGTGAACGCGGATTTTGTACTGAGGATGTAGGTCCATGGTCCATGGTCCATGATAAATGAAACGTACTGAGTGTTGTCACACCTGATCTCAATCTATGCGAAGTGAGACTCAAATCAAATGTCAAAGTCAAAACGAATTAATAGATATGTGTATATTAAACATATTTATCATTGATGCAAAGCATACAAATTGAAAGCTTTCTTAATTTTTTATAAATTACTGTTGGTTTGTTTATAAAAAACGACTAGCGCCGAAAATGTCCGAAGAAACATTTCAAACCCAATAATTAAAACTGAACCAAGGAATATCTCCAGTTAAACAAGAACTTGATGATTATGACATTACTCCAGAAACATATTTAGAAAACGAGGTAAATATCTACAGCAATTTTCAGAATTTGAGATAAAAATAAGCGAAAAAATAAAACAAGAAACAGTTGATGATCAAGATGAAAGAAGTTTCGGCGTGGAATCTTACATGGAAAACGAGGAGATATATCAACAGCGATTTTTAGATCTGAAGTCACTATAGACGAAAAAATCAAAAAAGAAATTGATGATCAAGATGAAGCTCGTTTCCATGAGAATTCTTACACGGAAATGAAGAAATATGTCTACAGCAATTTTTAAAATCTGAAGTAACAATTGACGAAGAGGTTAAGCATGAATCGATTGATGAGCACCTTGCAGACACCAGTAAAAACAAAAATATTGATCATTTTGGTGAGTTAAGTGATTTAGTGGATAATACAAGTGAATGTAATAAATCATTTAAAAAAGTTTTAGAAAAACGTAAAGCTACCCTAAACTTGAAACAACCCTTGACATGTGAAATTTGCAATAAAAATTTCTCAAGAATTAGCACCTTACATCGACATAAAATGATTCATACAGGAGAACGTCCTTACAAATGTGAAACCTGTAATAAAGCATTTATAACAAATAGTTGTTTAGGTCAGCATAAAAAATTTCATGCAAGAGAACGTCACTACAAATGTGAAATATGTAATAAAGCATTTATAACTAATGGTAATTTAAGTCAACATAAAAAGATTCACACAGAAGAACGTCATTACAAATGTGAAATATGCACTAAAGCATTTATAACAAATAGTAATTTAAGCCAACATAAAAAGATTCATACGGAAGAACGTCCTTACAAATGTGAAATATGTAATAAAGCATTCATAGCAAAACAACCATTAAACCAACATTTAATTAATCATACTGGAGAAAAACCACATAAATGCAAGATATGCAATAAAGCATTCAGATTAAAACACAATTTAAAGCGACATGAATTTGTCCATACTAAAGAAAGTAATCATGAATGTGCAGTATGTAAAAAAACATTCGCAACTAAACATAGTGTAAGTCAGCATGAAATGATCCACACTGGAGAACATCCTCAAAAGTGTGCATTATGCAATAAATCATTCACAAGAAAAGAAATATTAATACAACATTTAATGATTCATACTGGAGAACGACCACATAAATGCTTAATATGCAGTAAAGCATTTACAAGACAAAGCCAATTAAAACAACATTATTTTGTCCATACTAAAGAAAGTAATCATGAATGTGCAGTATGTAAAAAAACTTTCGCAACTAAACAAAGTTTAAATCAGCATAAAATCCGACATCTAATGATTCATACTGGAGAACGACTGCATAAATGCAAGATATGCATTATGCATTCAGATTAAAAGAACATTTGAAACAACATGAATTTGTACACACAAGAGAAAGCAATCATTAATGAGCCACATGCAATGAAACATTCGCAACTACACCAACCAATTAAACCAACATAAAACTGTTCATACTGTAGAACATCCTTATAAAAGTGAAATTTGTAATAAAACATTAAAATCTAAACATCGATTAAAATGCCATTCAAACCAAAACAATCATGAGAACTGATCATTTTAAACACAGTAAGACATATAATTATAAATAGCAGACGTTCTCATTCGTGCAGGACGCTTTGGTAAATATTGTTTATAAAATATCTTTGAAAATATTTGTGGTGACTAATAAAATATAATATTTACTTCATTGCTCACCAAATATTGTATACTGGCAGAAGTTATTAAATGAATATATAGTGTTATTATTTAAATTAAATTGTTTTTTATTTAATTATGTACATATGTATAACATAAAAATTAAAACTTGTTATAAATAATATTTGTTATTATTGGTCACTTATTAACTACGCATAGAGTAGGTTATAGTAATCATGCAAAAAATAAAAATCAAAAATTAATATTTCAACATACCTTAAAATAAATGGATGTATATGTATGTATGTGTGTACAAATTTTCTCTGAAACCTTTGAAACGGTTTTTCATTTTCGATTTTTTTTGCAATTACTATAACTTACCCTGCGGGAAGTTAAAATTATTGTTACGGATTCTTTTATTTATAACCCTTTTGTTATGAATTATTTTTATTGCTAGTTGCGGATTATTTAATTATTTGATCATTTGTTACTTAAATATTACTTTTATCTTCTATCCCGCACTGCTGAAAAACTAAATATTAGAGCTTTTGTTCGTGACTTAACTAAACAATATTTTATATTCACATATTTACATACTTATACTAATCTCAATCTGAACTATACAACTTGAATCTAGACTTATCTGTAACCACCATTGTCTATCGTGTCCATACTTCGGGCTCCCGATTCACATCACACACTAGTCACATTTAATTAATAGTTTACTTTCGGTTTGGGGACAGCTTTCGATGCGCTGTCCTCATAACATTCCTTTAGCTTATATTATCACAACATCAATTATAAAACACTTCGCGCACAACACCGAGCTCATCCCTTCGACTCATATCGGACTCATGCTCTTGGGCTATTACTACCACTACCAAAACAACTGTTAGGGACTAATGCTTAAGAAGGATTCTTCCGACTGTCACCCCTGAGGGCGTATATTCTACTACTTCCACTTGCGGACTCTTCCACACTCTTCATCAGGGATGGTTTACACATATATGGAGAGGGGTGGCTTTATGTAATTTTCATGTGTGTATGGGCTGTCACCCACACATTCGTAACAATATTGCATGTTAAAATATTTTATTATTTTCAACTTAAAATTATTAAAGTGATATTATTTCTTGTCTTAAATTATAATTGTTCATATATGAACTTGATTCGAATTGATTCGAATCATAATTCGAATCAGGTTTTTTCTGATCAGGAAAATCACTCGAATCAGGAATTTTCGAGTCGGCACATCACTAGTTTAGACATATATGGAGAGGGGTTTCGTAACAATATTGCATGTTAAAATATTTCATTATTTTTAACTTCCAGAGAGAGGTTTTGTTTTAGACATTATTGATCAGAGAGTCCGTATCCAAAAACATCTTCATTATGCAAAAACACTCAAAATGTGGCAAGTAACCCGGTTGTATCATCGATTTCGCAATTAGCAGAAGGTGAATGACGAGATGATAAATTGTTGACTAGCAAAGTTCTAAAGGCAGGCACAAAAGAGTAACAACTTGGATTAGTATTCGAAGCCCCTTGACTCCTTATGCAACTAAAAATATTCTTCAACGAATCTTGGTTAAAATTTCTGGTTCAAGTAACTAAAACCCTAAACTACTTTTATTTACAATGTAACTCAAACCCTCTATGTGTTAATCCAATTTTTAATGCAACTCGATTTAGTTACCCATCTGATCGTAGTTAAACGTGACCAAAATTTTTAATGAAAGGACGAAATAGTAGGTAAAAGTAAATTTCAATTAGGTAAACGGGAATATTGGCATACTATTCCGTGCGAAAAAATTATGGACGTTTGACTTAAAGACGTATTTTAGAGAAAATAGGAAAGTGGACGAACTAAATCTGTTATATTTTATTTAATTAACCTTTAAGATTATATAAAACAAGATTTTTTCGTTTTTTTTATAGAACGTTATTTATAGAAATAATCGGCATTTTGGTGAACTACGCGTGGACGTATTTTCAAGAAATTCGTATACTGTATGTTTGCAGAACTTATTTTATAAATTAAACACTATTTTAATTTGATTCAATTTATTTGCCAAATAATTGTAACGGAGTACGGAAATCACAATGATATCGATTTACTGATAAAAGGTACTATCGACCTGAACAGTTATAATCCCAAAATCTATCTATTGAATGCTAGTTACTGCTGGTACTGATAATACTGCAGCAGCAGTGTTGACTAGTGTGAACAAAAATAATGGTGTTACCATATACAATTCTTTCCATACTCCCACTCGATGCACAATTGCATCCAAAATTAAATAAACTTAAAGTTAAATCTAGTAGATAATATCTTAAGTCACATACAAAATAAATATAAGTTCTTAATAGCAACTACAAAACTTAAAGTAATTAACTTAGCTACATTCAAAAAAATCATACATTTTTTCTAATACAAAATACAATTAAATAGTTTACATTCAAGAAATAACACAAGATACAAATATTTGTTATTTACAATATTAATCATTAATTGGCAAAGGCACTAATTTATGAATAGGTCTTGTGTAGGTTCCATTTGAGGTTTTAATTCTGCCACTCGAACTTTACCATCACGACCATAATTTAAATTAACAATTCTAGCCAAGCACCATCTTAATGGGGGAAGGTTATCCTCCTTAATCAAAACTATCGAGTTTAATTTCAAATTTGGCTGATTATCTGACCATTTATTTCGTTTTGCAAATAAGATAATAATCCTTTGACCATAAAGTCCAAAATTTATCTCGCATGGCAGTTAATTGCTTATATACCGTTAATGAATTTAATTTATCAAAATTTACGTTTGGTTCTGGGATTGTAGTTAAAAAATCTCCAATCAAAAAATGACTAGGCGATAAGTACTGAAAACTAGAAACATCATCTGTTATTGCCATAAGAGGACGTGAATTAAGAATTGCTTCCACCTGTAATAGTACTGTTAAATATTCCTCATAAGTTAAACAGGAGGAGCCTATTATCCTTCGAAGGTGATATTTCATAATTTTAATACTTCCTTCCCCAATCCACCAAAATGTGGGGAATGAGAAGGAATAAACTTCCAAGTTATGCCCATTGTCGCAGCTTGGTTAATTATATCTGTCTTGAAGGATTGTTTACTAAAAAGATTCCGTAGCTCTTGCAACTCATGATTAGCGCCTATAAAATTCGTTCCGTTGTCGCTATTTATTACCGAACATAGACCTCTACGAGAAACGAATCTCTTTAAAACACAAATAAATGATTCTGCTGTGAGGCTAGTTGTAATATCTAAATGAACAGCTTTAGTCACCATGCAAACAAACAAAACAATATAAGCCTTAATTCTTGGTGCTTTCCTTAATCGACTCGATCTTATCGTCAGCGGTCCTGCGTAATCAACCCCAACATTAAAAAAAGGGCGTTGAAATTTAACTCTATCAATGGGTAAACTTCCCATTAATTGAGAGGCAGTGACAGCTTTAATTTTTGCACATTTTACACATGAGTGTATTATCGCTTTTAGCTCTCTTCGCGCGTTCAAGGGCCAATATTTTCGACGAATATTTGCTAAAACCGTTTGCGTGCCCGCATGCATCAACCTTTCATGCTCTTGTTTCAATAAGAGTCTTGTAACATAATTTTTTTGGGCAGAATTATTGGGTGCTTTTGTTCATAAGAAACATCAGCATTTTCTATCCTACCACCCACTCTCAAAAAACCTGACTTATCTAAGAAAGGATGAAGCGATTTCAATTCCGACATCAATTTAAGACTAGGAGTATGTTTACTATCTTGCAGATTTTTTATTACTTTTGTGAAGGTTTCTAACTGAACCAATTTTAAAATTACCTTCAACGCATTATCTAATTCTGGGACCGATAACGTATTGTGATCACCACGAACTATCGAATTTTTAATATAAGGGTTCATTCTTAAGCAGTAAGCTAGTACTCTAGTCATTTTTCTTAGCGAAGAGAATCGCTGACAGAAAGTATCAAGAAAAGAACTGCTGTTTTCTTTAACTAATAGAACTCTTTGTTCGGGTAGAACAGCGTCTAAAGAAGGATCAACATTTGGCCACCTATCAGTATTCTCAGACAACCAACTTGGGCCATTCCACCATAGCTCACAAGTTTTTAATTGATCTGCGGATAAGCCTCGTGAAATTAGATCTGCTGGGTTGAAATCAGAAGGCACATGTCTCCAGATTGTGCGGGAGTAATGTCAGTATTTAACTCTATTCTCACTATTCTGCCATAATATGCATTTGTATTTGGATCGCCGCGATCCATGACAAGACAATGTTCGAGTCACTCCAAAGTAAAACCTTTTCAAAATTTATATCAATGTTATCAATCACCCTTCTGAACAACCTAGCCAATAATAATGCAGCACACAATTCCAACCTCGCTAAAGTTATCGGTTTTAAAGGTGCAACTTTTGATTTCGCACACAGTAGTTTCACACTCGTAGTTTTATCTTCATATGTGGTTTTAACATAAAAGCATGCTCCATAAGCATATGAAGACGCATCAGCAAAACCATGAAGTTGAATACTTATAATACGTTTGTGATGAAAAACGCAACGATCAATAACTAAGTGTGATAATGTCCCTAACTTGTGGCAAACTTGAACCACTTATTTTCAACGTTTGCAGAAACACTTTCATCCCAATCTTTCTTATCTTTCCAAAGTTCTT